TAGAAAATGCCTTCCCCAAGAGAAACAGTACTGAGTTCGCTTTCTTGACAATATGCGCTATGTGGTCAGACCACGTTAGTTCTTGGTTTATGAAGATACCCAAGTCCCGACAGCACTCAGTTTTGGTTAATTCGTTTCCACCTAAATAGTACTTAAACTTTGGGTTTTTCTTTCCGATATGAAGCACGTAACATTTCTCACAATTCAGTGGAAGTAACCAATCTTTAGACCAGTTGTATATTGCGAGCAAGTCCTTTTTCAAAATTATATTTTTACAGCTATTATTATATAATTTGATGTCATCCGCGTACATTGCAAATGGCGACTCAATACTGATTTTAAGGTCAGCAGTATATGCAATAAAAAGTAGAGGGCCCAAAACCGAACCTTGTGGTACTCCACTTAATACTTTTACAGGTTTGCTGAGACTGTTTTCTACTTTAACGCGGAAGGTACGATCAGTTAGGTATGCATCAATCCAATTGTAAAGCTTACCCGATATACCGAGGTGCTTGATTTTGTGAAGTAGTCGGCGCTTGGGAACCCGGTCAAATGCTTTGGAGAAATCTAAGTATAGTACATCTAGTGAGTTGCCACCATCGTTCTCCTTAGTCCAGTCTGATAGACAACATAACAGGTTTGACTGAATGGATTTGCCAGGTAAAAATCCATGTTGCTCTATTGGGATTAATTGATGTTCATTTAGAAATTTTATTAATTGGTCGTATATAATGGATTCCATAAGTTTGATAATAATAGAAGTAAGACTGATTGGCCTGTAGTTGTTAGCATTAAATTTGTCACCCTTCTTGAAGATAGGTCGGATTAAGGCGGTCCGCCAGTCAAGAGGGAGCAGGCCAGAATGAAACGACTGAGTCATGAGAATGCATAAAGGTTTACAGAGGGTATCAGCACAGTTTGATAAGCATTTGGCTGTGATAAGATCTGGACCTGGAGATTTGGAAGCGTCTAGACTCGCCAGCTTTTTGTGCACCACGGTAGGGGTAAATACGATCTCACTAAGTGATGTAGGGTTGCTCGAACCGAGTATTTTAGGGATATGACCAGGAGGCTCATTTGTAAACATGTGAGAAAAAGCATCCGCGAATGTATCCGCGATGTCTTTACTATTTTCTATAATATCTCCGGAGGGACTTTGGATCTGTATCTTACCAACAGGACCCGAGAGCTTAGTATGGAGATATTTATACAGCCTTTTAGTGTCTTTAGACTCCGCGATGTTTGATTCGTAAACGCATCTGGCCTCTTTGATAGTGGCCAATAGTCTGTTTGAGAACTTCCTATGAGTCTTATAGTCACATTCGGAGCCAGTTGTTTTGTATACACGCCACAGCGTTCTTTTGTTCCTTATTAAACTTAAGATTTTTGCATTAATCCATGGCTTTTTAGATGATCTTTTATCGTTAACAAAGGTGGTATGTCGTGCAACAGTACTGTGAAGACAGCTCTTGAAAATTGTCCAATTGTCAGTGACTAAAGATTTGGATAGCAATATTGAAGAACACCAGAAAATCTCTTGGTATCGTAGAAGAATTCCTTGGGAAAAAGGATAAAGAACAGGAAAAATAGTTGACTGAAGACGTATAATTGAAGTTTTATAAAATTTTACTGGAAACATAGATTGGTGTGTCTAGTTTCCATAATATAGAATAACTCCATCTTCAAAAATTCTCTTTGAGAGAAAACAGAAGGTCCTGAATTAACGTTGAAAAAATAATATAGCTAACTTTAACTTGGGGAGTTTCTAGAAAAATATCTAGATTCTAGAAGCCATGAGATAGAAGAATTTTAACTTCAGTACAGGATTAACATTGATTCTTGAAAGCTTCTATTTGGAAACTATAAAAGAGAAAATTTTCAATATAGAGTCGACGGACGTGAATTTACGAAGATTTTAGGAGAATTGTAAACAGAAACACGAAGAACCAGAGGTATATAGAAGAATAGAGGTTGAAATATTATTGACAGAGTCTAGAAGGTTTAGATACTTTTTTTGTGAAAGGAAATTTTGTTTACCTAACTGGAATATGGAAGAACACGAGAAAATCTCTTGGAATTGTATAAGAATTTTTTGGAAAAAGGATAAAGAGGAAAAATTCTCTTTGAAAGAGAGAAGAAGATTTTGGATTAACGTTGAAGAAAGAAGATAGCAAACTTGAAATCGGGGAGATTCTAGAAGGATTCTAGATTCTATAAGCATTGCGTTAGAAGAATTTTAATTAACATTGATTCTTCAAAACTTCTATTCGGAAACTTTAAAAGAGATAACTTTCAAGCTAAAGTCTGCGGACGTGAAGTTAAGAAGGTTTTAGGAGAATTGTAAACAAGAACTCACAAAATCAGAAGAATTTAGAAGAATAAAGGTTAAAAAGATTATTGACAGATTTGGGAAGGTTGGGAAATATTGAAGAATACTGGAAAACCTCGTAGAGTTTTAGAAGAATTTCTTTGAAAAAGAATAGAGAAGAGGAAATTGACTGAATACGTTCTAGAAAGTTTTACTGGAAACATAGATTGCTCTGACTGGTTTCCGTAGTATAGAATAGCTCTATCTTCAAAAATTCTACGTGGAAGAAAGAAGAAGGTTTTACATTAACATTGAAGAAAGAAGATAAATAAAAACGTCTGTCCAGGAATAACATTGATTCCTAAAAGCTACTATTCGGAAACTGTAAAGGAGAAAACTTTCAGTTAAGTTTTAAAGAAAATTTTTCGGAGAATAAAAGGGTGAACAGATTATTGACGGATTACTTAATTAAGAGGAAATGTTACTTTTGTAAAGTGCAGTCAGCTACGCAGAAATATTACAAACGGAAAATTTCTGTGAAAACCCATTCAAAAAGTAATAAAGAAAATATGTAAGGAAAATCAGATTGAACTGGTAAAATTTAAGGAAACCAAAGTGAGAATTGTTGGCAGGCAACGAAGGGTACAAAATTTGAACTTTAGCTACAAATAGCGTTGAAGAAGACAGCCAATTAACGACGATAACTCCAAAAGGACATTATATTGGTAAAAACAGTATAAAACAAGCCAGTCTTTATCAACTGAGTCAAAAAAACCTAAATTACGAAACTTTTAAAGCTCCCGAGCTCTGCCACCGTACTAATTAACATGTTTATCAATTTACAAGCAACTCGACTGACTCGATAGTCGCGCTTCTACTTTTTCAAAAAAAAAAAAGAAAAGCTCCACCGGGGCGACCCAGCGCCATGTATCAATGCAAACGGCAAATATCGCGAAATGGCAATTGAATCAGAATCAGACATAACAAAATGACCATCAATAAGAGCCGAGGGGCGGCGGATGAAGCTGTCAGAAGCTGCATTGCGCGCGGCTCGGGGCGGTTTAAATCAATAACGTGGTGGTTCAGGTTGCGCGCCTGAATTAACCCGTCACCCCCAAGGCTCCACGTGGAAAGCCATGCACTTGATTACCTAACAAGTATTATTTTATCACCACTGTTCTTGACTTGCCTCGAGCTCCACATGCTCCAGTAGGTATTGTGTGGAGGCGGCGTCGGACGGCTTTGCAAAAAAGGCACAATGGCTGGTCGAAAATAGAAACACGAGTGTTCTGTTACGCCGAGGGCCAAGAATTGACGTGCGTTCAGCTAATCGAACGAAATAATAGCAATAATAGCGTTTTTTAACATTTCTTAAAAAAAAAATCCTTCTACTTGAGTAGTTCGAGTCGTTGTAAATTGATAAACATGTTAATTAGTCCGGTGGCAGTCGAGGTAGGAACACATGTTCGGGAGCTTTAAAAGTTTCCTAATTTAAGTTTTAATCTCGATTTATAACGAGCACCAGGACAAGGCATAATGGATATTAAATGCTTCGACGCCCCTCGCAATAAATCAGCCAGAACAAACTCACTCTATTCTCATTTTTATTCGGCCCCAAATTGCAACATTTAATTTCTATTTTAAGTGGCTATCTGTTTGTTTTCGTGAATTACATGCAAATTTGTAGCGCGGACGGAGATTTGTAAAGATTACGGAGTTCTACGTGGGCTTATAGACCGTGGGCTCGGCGTTGATTAACACTACTTGTATAAATCAACCCGGAGTAACAATTTTATTTGCGCTTAGATTTTTTATTACCTGTTTGGATTCACCGCAAGTAACTTGTCTTAATATCAACAATAACTTATTGAAAAAGTGCTTATTATTTTTTTTCTTTTTTTTTGGAAAGTCTATCACATCGATATGAATCGTCACTTTTCCAGAAAAATAAATAAATTTATTCTTTATACAAATTTACTTTGAGCGTTTTTTTGTTTCTTCGATCGCCGCGAAAAAGTTCTGTTCGTGTTTTTCTTTAATGTTTATTTACGGATATTGCGAACAACTGAAAATGCGCTTGAAAAACTTTCTATAAGAGGATCTTTCCACCGAGTATTTTAAAGTCACTATATTACAGTATAATTGCCACGAAATCAAAAGTTCTCTCTAATTAAGTATGGTAGTAATTTAATTAACAAGACAAACTTCCCAGCAAGTAAGGAAACCGCTCGCTTATCTAATGATTTATAGGCACGGTCAGCCGTTAAATACTGCTCTTTAAGCTTCTATTATATACACGTTGTTGTAAATAATTACTAACAGTTTGTACAAATTACCCTGTAACGAGTTTAGTTTCGAGAGGTATTAAACGGTTATTTAGTGATGCGCCACCTCCACGTTAACACCGACCGCCAAGTTTTCGCCGAACGTTTCTAAAAAAATTTGAAGAAAAAACTCAAAGTAGAAAATATATTTTTTTAATACACTGTAGTTTAATTAATCGGTTCTACTTTCAAAATTTGTGAAGAAAAATTTTACAGATTATGAAAAACGATGTTTGACGGCTTTAACCCATGTATTTTTCTAACTTGACATGGTTGTCAGTCGTGTCCACACTCTTAGTACGTCAAGCCACTAACTAAAACAACGCTTTTTTCTCTTTGACACCGCTGAATTCTGTGCTTGTTTCCAGGAGAGCGACCGTTCCCGTGCAGTTGGAACAATTGTGGAAAGAGATTCGCCCGTTCGGATGAGCTGGCAAGGCACACTCGCACTCACACGGGAGAAAAAAACTTCGCATGTCCAGTCTGCAACAAGAAATTTATGCGAAGCGACCACCTGAGGTAATTTGCAATTTTTTTTTAGTACAGTAAGCGCCTTCGGGGACGGGCTGGAGCAATCTGCGGAACTGGAAAAAAGGGAACTTAGCCAAATTTTTGGCCGGGGTGGAGGAATTCACGTACAATGACGAGGGGCGGCAAAATCGCGCACCCGAGAGCGCAGTGTGGCCATTTTTGGGTTTGGTAAAAAAACTGAGTTTTGATTCTGGTTTTGTGCCAATTTTGCAATGAATTGCACACCACCTTTTTTAGTACCTGAGGGTGTAAACACTCAAGATCTCAGCGAAGTGCTCATTTTTGCTCACAAATTAGAATCTAACAGACCCGTAGTGTTTTATTTTTGAAGAAATTAATAATATCAAGGACACCTTTGTTTTATTTTTAAAGAAATTTATAGACTTTTAGGGGCAACCTTTGAATAATGTTTGAAATAATTTTAAAGACTCTCAGGAGCACGTGGTGTTTTATTTTTGAAGAAGTTTAAAGAAACCCAGGCGCCTGTAGTCACAATTGACACAGGGTGGGTGGGCGGGCTCTACAGTTTGCCTTTTTTTCTTAATATGTGTAGACTTATTTCGACAATAAGAAACTTCAGACGTCTTAAGTGATAAGTTTTTGTAGTAATCAACTTAAAGCCTCCACTTTTCTTCTACAACCCCTTTAAATACGGCAGAAGTTGAACATCAAAGTTGGCAACGGAGTTTATAAATAGCAATTTTCAGCTTTAAAATCAACGTCAACAGCAAGTTTATAGATCCTGCCTAAGACGTTTAAACATAAAATAAAGTTTTATGACTGACAGTAGTCACTCTATGTGGCGCCACAGGTTCGAATACCGTTCAAAGAATTGTTATTTTTTTATTAAACAATTTTAAACCTAATGATTTTTAGTTAATTTTCCAGTTTATTAGAGTCGACTTTGAGGTTGTTTTTAAATTTGATTTGTGCACTAACTTAAATAGAATTAAATTTTCATCTAAAGTAAATAAACTAAGCCAATGAAATTCAAAAGTAGAAGTGGGTGGGGTTAGTTTTACCTTTTTATTTGGTATAAATTTCACTGTTTATCAATATAATAAAATCCAATTTTCGTCCACTAAAACGAGTCATCAAAAAGAAAACATGAGGAGTTGGCTCTGAATTTGAAGTTTGAAGGCTTTGAATATGTTCAAAAGAATTCTGTAACGTCTTTGAATGAAAAGGAATATTTCGAATTAATTTTGAAAAACTCGTAAAAATGTTGACAATACTAGAAATGTCATGGAGTAACTTATTTTGAAGAAATTAAAATCTAAGGGACCCGTAGTGTTTTATTATTAAAGATTCTCAGGATCACCTGTTTAATTATTTTTAAAGAAGTTTAAAGATTTCAGAGACAAACTTTGTATAATTTTTGAAAGAATTTTAAAGAATCTCAGGAGCACCCGGTTTTTATTTTTGAAGAAGTTTTAAGAATCTTAGGGACAACCGCCGTTCTATCTTTTAAGAAATGAAACTCTGGAGCCCTTAGAGTTTTAATTTTTAAAGAAGTTTAAACAAACTCAGGGACACCTGCTGTTTTATTTTTGAAGAAATTGAAAAAATCTAAGGGCCGCCTTTATCTATTTTTAAGGAAGTTTAAAAAGTTTCAGGAGCAACCTTTGTATAAATTTTTAAAGAATTTTAAAGAAACTCAGGAGCACTTGATGTTCTATTTTTGAAGAAGTTTTAAGAATCTCAGAGATATCCGTAATTTTATTTTTGAAGAAGTTTAAAAATCTCGGGCACAACCATGGTTTCATTTTTGAAGAAGTTTTAAACATCTCAAGGACATCCATCGTTTTATTTTTGAAGAAATTTTAAGAATCTCAGGGACATCCATCGTTTTATTTTTGAAGAAGTTTTAAGAATCTCAAGGACATCCATCGTTGCATTTTTGAAGAAGTTTTAACAATCGCAAAGACACCTATTGTTTTATTTTTAAAGAAGTTTTAAGAATCTCACAGGTATCCGTCATTTTATTTTTGAAGAAGATTTAAGTATCTCAAGCACATCCATCGTTTTATTTTTGAGGAAGTTTTAAGAATCTCAGCAAAATGCATCGTTTTATTTGTGAAGAAGTTTCAAGAATCTCAGGAACAACCGTCGTTTCATTTTTGAAGAAGTTTTAAGAATCTCAAGGACATCCATCGTTTTATTTTTGAAGAAGATTTAAGTATCTCAAGGACATCCGTCGTTTTATTTGTGAAGAAGTTTTAAGAATTTCAAGGACAACCATCGTTTCATTTTTGAAGAAGTTTTAAGAATCTCAAGGACATCCATCGTTTCATTTTTGAAGAAGTTCTAAGAATCCCAGGGACAACCGTCGTTTTATTTTTGAAGAAGTTTTAAGAATCTCAGGGACATCCATCGTTTCATTTTTGAAGAAGTTTTAGGAATCCCAGGGATAACCGTCGTTTTATTTTTGGAGAAGTTTTAAGAATCTCAGAGATATCCGTCGTTTTATTTGTGAAGAAGTTCAAAGAATCCCTGGGACAACCGTAGTTTTATTTTTGAAGAAGTTTTAAGAATCTCAGGGACAACCGTCGTTTTATTTTTGAAGAAGTTTTAAGAATCTCAAAGACATCCGTCGTTTTATTTTTGAGGAATTTTTAAGAATCGCAGGGAGATCCATCGTTTCGTTTTTGAAGAAGTTTTAAGAATCTGAGATTCAACCTTCGTTTTATTTTTGAAGAAGTTTTAAGAATCTCAGAGATATCCGTCGTTTTATTTGTGAAGAAGAATTAAGAATCTCAGGGACAACCGTCGTTTTATTTTTGAAGAAGTTTTAAGAACCTCAAGGACATCCGTCGTTTTATTGTGAAGATGTTTTAAGAATCTCAGGGACATCCATGGTTTCATTTTTGAAGAAGTTTAGGAATCTCAGAGACAACGGTCGTTTTGTTTTTGAAGAAGTTTTAAGAATCTCAGGGACAACCGTCGTTTCATTTTTGAAGAAGTTTTAAGAATCTCCGAGATATCCATCGTTTTATTTTTGAAGAAGTTTTAAGAATGCCGAAGACAACCATCGTTTTATTTTGATGAAGTTTTAAGAATCTCAAGGACAATCGTCGTTTTATTTTTGAAGAAGTTTTAGGAATCTCAGGGACAACCGTCGTTTCATTTTTGAAGAAGTTTTAAGAATACCAGGGACAATCGTCATTTTATTTTTGAAGAAGTTTTGAGAATCTCGGAGATATCTGTCGTTTTATTGTGAAGAGGTTTTAAGAATCTCAGGGACATCCATCGTTTCATTTTTGAAGAAGTTTTAGAAATCTCAGGGACAACCGTCGTTTTATTTTTGAAGAGGTTTTACAAATCTCAGAGATATCCGTCGTTTTATTTTTGAAGAGGTTTTACGAATCTCTGAGATATCCGTCGTTTTATTTTTGAAGAAGTTTTAAGAACCTCAAGGACATCCGTCGTTTTATTGTGAAGATGTTTTAAGAATCTCAGGGACATCCATGGTTTCATTTTTGAAGAAGTTTAGGAATCTCAGAGACAACGGTCGTTTTGTTTTTGAAGAAGTTTTAAGAATCTCAGGGACAACCGTCGTTTCATTTTTGAAGAAGTTTTAAGAATCTCCGAGATATCTATCGTTTTATTTTTGAAGAAGTTTTAAGAATCCCGAAGACAACCATCGTTTTATTTTGTTGAAGTTTTAGGAATCTCAAGGAAAATCGTCGTTTTATTTTTGAAGAAGTTTTAAGAATCTCAGGGACAACCGTCGTTTGATTTTTGAAGAAGTTTTAAGAATTTCAGGGACAATCGTCATTTTATTTTTGAAGAAGTTTTAAGAATCTCAGGGACAACCGTCGTTTTATTTTTGAAGAAGTTTTAAGAATCTCCGAGATATCCATCGTTTTATTTGTTAAGTTCTAAGAATCTCAGGGTCAACCGTCGTTTTATTTTTGGTGAAGTTTTAGGAATCTCAGGGACATCCATCGTTTCATTTTTGAAGAAGTTTTAAGAATCTCAGGGGCAACCGTCGTTTTATTTTTGAAGAAGTTCTAAGAATCCCAGGGACAGCCGTCGTTTTTTTCTTTTTAGAAGTTTTAAGAATCTCAGGGACAACCATCGTTTTATTTTTGACGAAGTTTTAAGACTCTCGAGGACAACCATCGTTTTATTTTTGAAGCAGTTTAAAGAATCTCAGGAGCACCCGTTGCCTTATTTTTTAAACAATTTTAAAGAATCTCAGGCACTCCTAGTATTTTATTTTTGAAGATATTAGAATCTCGAATCTGAAGAAGTTTAAAGTATCTCAGTAGTTTTATTTTTTGAAAACTTCGCATGTTCTTCTTTGCTTCTTAAATTAATTCACTCATGCTTGACCTGACCTGACCTGACCTGACCTGACCTGACCTGACCTGACCTGACCTGACCTGACCTGACCTGACCTGACCTGACCAACCGCAATAATTATGTAGTATTTTATAGTAGCTTTACCTCCTTGCCTTTTTTTTCAATCTCGGGTGTCCCTCAAGAACGAAATCTTGGCCCCCTTTTTTTTTAATTTGTTTGCTAACGATCTGCATAAATTCTTGGAGTGTCGTATTTAGCTTATGCGAATGATTTAAAAATGTATTCTAAGATCTCGAACGTGTTTAATGCTCAGCTTCTACAAGCTGAAGTTATTAAAATTGTTGTGTGGTGTTATGTAGATACAAACTCATAATTAGTACAAGCAAATGTTGCTTCGTTTCCCATTTTCTAGTATTTTTAATGTTTGTAAGGCGACAAGTAAATCTTTTTTTAAGTAAGACTTAATTAACGGGGTTGGCGCGTTCTACGGGGGCGGTTGCTCGGGCGCCAGGATTTAACTTATTTCAAAATTTAAAAAAAAAATTCGAAACTCAAAAAAAACTAGCTGACGAGCTAAAATGCACGATCTCCTGCTACTAGTAATGCATTTTGTAATACGTGTAGTGATTCTCCATTTCGTACATATATTTTTTAAATAAATTCAAGACGAATTGGACCCCGACTCCCCAAACCCGCTTTTTGTTTACCCCCCAACAAAAATGTTCAATCGACCGCGATCGAACGCCCGACTCCATAATTGTCTACTCCTCGGAACGAAATTCGAGAACTCGTTAACCCCGAGTCGGACGTACGTGAAGAATATATTTAAATCTTTCCATCATATTATTTCCAGCCGCTTCCAACGCAGAACCGCGCTTGAGAAGATGTTTTCCAATTTTATTATAATGAGCTCTCATTTACCGCTAACGGCTGACATTATGATAAGAGATTCTATAAACCAAAAGTGTCACCCTCGTAAAAATGACTTCAGTAAATATCCAACCCTCTTGTTTGCCGCCCCAGTCGTTTTGTTTTCCTCGCGATTTTTCGTCGACTTAAATCGGCGAGAATTGTGCGTAATTTTACACGCCTTTTTGTTCCAGCAAGCACGCGAGGAGGCACCCCAACTTCGACCCGTCGATCCTGCGGCAGCGCCGGGCCCCCAACCGGGCCTTCTCGATCAATTCCAGCGATGGTACCCCCTCGGATGTGCTCTCCGACTCGATGCCCAGCCCGTAGAAGGTTTAAGCTGTTAAAGACTCTCTCTTTCTTCTCATTCTGTGAATATTTAACATCCACAAGTGTGTTGCCTTTCTAAATTCTCCATTCTCAACAAACTGTACGGTTTTTGGAATTTTGATAAATGTCTTTCTCGATCTTGTTTGTGTTACTTAACGGTAGTCACACTGTTTGTTTAGTTTAAACGAGTGTTAGAGGTGCAAATTAGTAGTGTTATCAAAATTATGTTAGGTTTTAAGTTTTAAGGTAGTAACATGCTCAATTCCCTCATTATTTAGCGTGTTCCATGATAATTACGACTATTTATATCAGGAGTAAGTAATCTATGGAAAGTATGTTGAATCTATGTGTTAGATTTATTCCCTGCGGAAATATTATTGTATATAATCATAGAGTAAGGTTTATTTTTTATTACGAGAATAACATAACTAGAAATATTAAATGAAAAACTAACAAAGTCTTCTAAAAAACACGTTTTTTATGATTTTGCAGTTTTTATTCTTCGAGTTGTTTTTTGCATTTCTAGAATTAATTTTAGTTGTTTGTATCGGTACCTGTTCTCCTTAAGCATTTCAATTAACTTTGAAGTGCACGTCGCTTGTTTTATTTTTTAACTTAAGTGATTAAAACGTATCCTTTATTTTCGTTTTTATTTATTTCCACATCCTTGAAACGTACCGACAATCGTAGCACCTTTTAGAACCTTAGTCGCTTCTTTACGACTTTATTTAACCATTCTAAAAGTAAGAAAATAATAGTGATGACGTTAGAATTCTAAAAAGAAGATTTACGCTAAAAAATATCCGTTGTGGTGGAACTGTTTATTTATCTGGGTCCTGTATATACTTACCACTGCGAAGGCGACTATTTTGTAATTATAAAGAAGTATAAATTATCCAATCCACCTTTTGTATAGAGTAGAATAACTGAATCGACAATATCTGTGTTTGCGTTGTTTACAAATTTGTTGCCTTTTATTTCGTCGTCCTGCAGCTGCAGGCGACAGCTTATCTGAATAGTCATGAAGCGTGAAATTATCTATTAACATCTCATCAAGTCCGGAACAATTTCGATAAATTGTCGCAAAATTTGTTTAGCAATAGAATCCTGATTTGTTTGTTTTCTTGCGTTGTGCACTTTCTCTTACCGACCAATTTAGAAGCAGTGGCAAGAGTTAGAGTATTTTTGTAAAAATCAGCTTATCATGTGTACCTAAAATGTTCAATCACATTTGATATCATACAAATGTTCATTTGTCCTGTAGAAACATGTAAATATTGTAAATAGAAATACAAACGATATTTATCAGTGTTTGTGTTATAAAGTGAGATAGATAATCTCATAGATATGTTAATATACATAAACTAATAAAATTATGGAAAACGTCACTATTTGCTTCTCCCTTTTCCCATCCATAATCGTGATAACTTCGCAACTTCCACATATCTTCCTCCCTGATGTATGATTGGTCTCTAGAAAACTACTATTCAATCTCAATTAAATATCATAACAAACCTTTCAGACAACAACATCGACTTCGTTTTACCGAATTACGGAAGAATTTGCAAACTTTTCGGTGGAAGTTAAGGCACAAATCAATAAAATTCATCGTGTGTACGTAACGAGTATGAAAAGTAATATACAGTCGGATCCTTCACTTTTCTGATCTTGGCTGCTCGGAGTACGAAAAGATAATCGAATTCCGAGACGTGACATATTTAAATAAAGAACTGGCAAGTCTTTTCTAAATTGTTACTTCTTTAGCAACTTTTTCCAGAAGTTGGGGCGTTTCTCAGCTCTGCGAGATAACTTCTACTGGGAGCGTCTCGCTTTATTTGCATCTAGTTTTAATAACTGGGAGAATATTTATGTCGCCCGTTTCTGTCTGTGTGTTGTTTGAAATTTGTCTGCACGTCCAAAAATTGATGACGTCATCTCAAAATTTCGTCAAAACGTGACACTTTGTGTAGTTTAATATATATTTTCAACTCACTAGAAGCCCCCAGGATTATTTTAAATTCTTTCAGAAACAGGTATCCGAGATTTTATCAAAATCTTTAAAAAATAAAAACATCAAGGATCTTCAGATTCTTTGCACAAAAAATATATTAGAAGGCTCCAAGATTCATTCCTTAGGATTTATGGAAATTCTTAAAAAATAAAGAAGAGAGCCTTAAATTGTTTCACTTTTCAAAAAAAAACACCAGGTGCCCCCAAAATTCTCTATTCTTAAAAAAAATCACAGGCTCCAAATTCTTTCAAACTCTTTCAAAAATAAAAATAAAACACCAAAGTTTTCCATTCTTAAAAAAAGACACTAGGAAAGTCTTTCAAACTATTTCAAAAAGAAAACACCAAAGATCATAATCAGAGACTCCAAAATTGTTTACATTCTTAAAAAAAAATAGGAGCTCTCCAAATTTATTTCAAAATAAAACATCATAAAGGCCCCCAAGATTCTGTTAAACTCTTTCAAATTCAAAATCAAAACCAAAGGTACGCGAGATGTTTTCAAAATCTTAAAAAAAAACACTACAGACCCACAAGATTCTTTGAATTAAAAAATATTAGGGACCTCCAAGATACTTTCCCGAGGATTTTTGAAAATTCTTCAAAAGTAAAAAGTTTTCACATTCTTAAAACAAGACACTAGGAACCCCCAAAAATCTTCCAAACTACATATATATTTCAAAAACAAAACACCAAAGGTCCCTTTTTTCAAAATCTTGAAAAAAGTCAGACCTTCCAAGATTCTTTCATCTTTAAAAAAAAAGATTACAGACACCTAAGATTCTTTTAAGTTTTTTCATATACAAAACAAAAGTTACGGAGATTTTTTCAAAATTAAAGAAGACGAAAACACCAGGGGACTCAAAAGTTTTTTCACATTCTTAAAAAATAAGATACTAAGAGAGAATTTTTAAACATATATCCGGACTCGCTCAGATTTTTTCCTATTTCCTTGGATTTCTTCCAAATTCCCTCGTACTCGTATTCTTTCGGTGTCTCTGGAATTGTCCCGAATTCAGTTTTATTTTCTCGGACTTTTTCGTATTTCCTCATATTCTTTGGAATTCTCCCAGATTCTTTTCTATTCTGCCGAATTCCCTTAGATTCTCTAATATTTTTTCAGATTTTTCCAGATTCTCTCGGGTTTTCTTAGAAATTGATCGGATTCTTTGCGTATTCTTCCGGATTCTTACGAATTCCGGCATATTCTCTAAGAATATTTTGAATTATCTAGTATTCTTCAGGTGCCTCTCGCATTCTCTCGAATTTCTTCGTCTTCTCTCGTATTTATTCGGATTATCTCGGATTTTTTCCGAATTCTCTCATATCTTTCGAATTCTCTGGGATTCTCTCAAATTCACTTTCATTCTTTCGGATTTTTTGTGTTCTCTCATATTGTTTCGAATTATTTCGGACTCTCTCGAACTTTTGGTATTATTTCCGAGTTCTCTCATTTTTCTTCGGAGTCTTTGGGGTTTACTCGAATTCACTTTCATTCTCTCGTATTTTTTTCGGACTCTCTTGAGATTTTTTCATATTCTTTCGGATTCTTCCAGATTCTCTTTCGTTCTCCTAAATTCCCTTGGATTCTATCAGATTCTTTCGAATCCTCTCTGTTTGTGTTCGTATTTTCATATATTTTTCGCTATTTGTTCTGATTCTTTAAGATTTTCTAGAATTATTTTCGTATTCTTTCGGATTCTTCCGGGTTCTCTTCTATGCTCCCAAATTTCCGTGGATTCTCTAATATTTTTTTCAGATTCTTTCGGATGCTCTCGGATCTTCTTAGAAATTGGTCGGATTCTCTTTTATTATTTGGATTCTTGTAGTATCTTTCGGATTCTTCGGAATTCTCGCAGATCCTCCAAGAATATTTTGGATTCTCTAGTTTTCTTCATGTTTCTCTCAGATTCCCTCCTATTTCTTCGTGTTCTTTCGGTTTGTCTCGGATTTTTTCCGAAATCTCGGAGATTCCCCCAAATTTGAACAAATTTCCGGACTCTCTCGGATTTCTTCGTATTTCCTCTGATTTTTTCCAAATTCTCTCATATTCTTTCCTTTTCTCTTGGATTCTCTAGAATTCAGTTTTGTTGTTTCGTATTCTTGTGGATTCTCTTTATTTTCCGGACACCTTTGTGTTCTCACATATTTTTTTCAGATTCGCCCGAATCCTCTATGAATATTTTGAATTCCATCGTATTCTTCAGGTCGCTCTCTGATTTTTTCAAATTGGCTTAGAATTCTTGCGTGCTTTTTCGAATTCTCTCGAATTTTTCCGTATTGTCTGGGATTTTCGCCGAATTCTCTCATATTCTTTCGAATTCTCTGGGATTCTCTCAAATTCACTTTCATTCTCGGTTTTTTTCGTATTCTATTGGATTTTTGGTATTCTCTCGTATTATTTCGACTTCTTTCGGACTCTCACGAACTTTTGCGTCTTTTGTGGTATTTTTTCCGAATTCTCTCATATTCCTTCGGATTCTTTGGGGTTTACCCGAATTCACTTTCATTCTCTCGAATTTTGTTCGGACTCTCTGGGATTGTTTCGAATCCTCTGTTTTTTTTTCGAATTCTTATTTATTTTATTTGTTCGGATTCTTCAACATTTTCTAGAATTATTTTCGTATTTTCTCGGATTTTTTTCGGATTATCACGGATTTTTTTTGAATTCTCTCATATTCTTTCGAATTCTCTGGGATTCTCTCAAATTCACTTTCATTCTCTCGGTTTTTTTCGTATTCTATTGGATTTTTGGTATTCTCCCGTAGTTTTCTAAATCTTCTAGATCTTTTAAATTTTTGAGATGTTTTAGATTATTTAAATTCATCAGATCCTTCACATCTTTTAGTTTCTTGAGATGCCTCACATTTTTTAGATCCTGAAACTTTAGGGGCCGGTTGCATAAACGCAAATCAAATTTAATCTCTGATTAAGAACAATTGTAACTATGATAATAACAATCGTTACTATGAAGTTAATCAGAGATTAAATTTGATTTGCGTTTATGCAACCGGCCTAGGTGTTTTGGATGCCTGTAGATCCTCTGCATCCTCTAGAAACTTCAGCTAATCTTGATCCTGATCTTTAAATTTCCCAGATAGATTTTTAGATTTGTTATTTGTTAATAAATTCTTCACATTTTTAGACCCGTGAGGTTTTTAGAACCTTAAGAAACTACAGATTTTTAGGATCCTGTAGAGCCTTTGCACCTTTTAGATCCTTCAAGTTCTTCGGATTCATGTGGATTTCTCTCGGATTTTTTCGTATTCTAGTGGATTTTTTGTAATCTCTCGTATTTTCTCGAATTTTTTCCGGACTCTTTCATATTCCTTCGGATTCTTTGGGGTTTACTCGAATTCACTTGCATTCTCTCGAATTTTTTTTTTAAGATTCTTTAAATTCTTCAGATTCTTCATCTGTTCGAGATTTTTACACATCTTTTAGATCTTTGAAATCCTTTAGAAACTTTAGGTGCTTTGGATCTTTCTAGATCCTCTAACTCCTCTAGAGACCATCCTGATCTTGATCTTTAAGTCCTCCAGGTAATCCAGATCCTCAAACCTCTAAATCTTTAAGATTCTCTACAACCCTACAGATATTTTATAATCCTGCAGAGACTTCACGTCGTTTAGATCCTTTAAGTTCTTTGGACCCTTTGGGATCCTCTCCGTGTTCTGAAGAATTCTGCTAATCTAGATCCATAGATAATCCAGATTCTGTACATCTTCTAGATCTTTTAAATTTTTGGAGATGTTTTAGATTCTATAAATTCTTCAGATCCTTCATATCTTTAGTTTCTTGAGGTGCCTCACATTTATTATATCCTGAAACTTTGTGTTTTGAATGCCTCTAGAGACTCTAGCTGATGCAGATTGATACTGATCTTTAAATTTCCCATATAAATCTTTAGATTTAGACCCGTGAGGTCTTTTAGAACCTTAAGATGTTACAAATTTTTAGGATCCTGTAGAGGCTTTACACCATTCAGATCCTTCAAGTTCTTCGGATTCATGTGGATCCTCAAATTCTCTAGATCTTTTAAATATTTGAGTTATTTTAGATTTCTTAAAATCGTTGAATCTTTTGCTGTTTGAGACTTTTCTCATGTGTTAAATTTGTGAGGCTTTCCATAACTTTTAGATCTCTGAGATGCCTCATATTTTTTGGGTCCTTGAGATTCTGTAGCGCCTTTAGGTGTTTTAGATCCTTTTAGATCCTCCATATCTTCTAGAGACTGCTTTAGCTAATCTAGATCCTTTAAATTTCGTAGATAAGGTAGACCCTCTATATCATCTAAACCATTGTTTTCGGATTATGTCGGATTTTTTCAGAATTCTCTCATATTCTTTCGAATTCTCTGGGATTCTCTCAAATTCACTTTCATTCTCTCGGATTTTTTCGTATTCTCTTGGATTTTTGGTATTCTCTCGTATTTTTTCAAATTCTTTCGGACTCTCTCGAACTTTTGCGTCTTCTGTGGTATTTTTTCCGAATTCTCTCAGAGTCCTTCGGATTCTTTGGAATTTACTTCAATTCACTTTCATTCTCTCGAATTTTTTTCAGATTCTCTGGAATTCTTTCGGATTCTTCCAGATTCTCTTCTGTTCTCCTGAACTTCCCTGGATTTTTTTCATATTTTCGGAAGCTCTCGGATCTTCTTAGAAATTGGTCGAATTCTCTTCTATTGTTTGGATTATTTTCGGATTCTTCCGGATTCTCGCAGATCCTCCAAGAATATTTTGGATTCTCTAGTTTTCTTCATGTTTCTCTCGAATTTCTTCGTGTTCTTTCGATTTCTCTCGGATTTTTTCCGAATTCCGTAGGATTTTCTGAAACTCAGTTTCTTTTTCTCTGAATTTTTCGTATTCTATTGGATTTTTGGTAATCTCTCGTATTTTCTCGGGTTTTTTCCGAACTCCCTCGGATTTCTTCATATTTCCTTGGATTTTCCAAATTCTCTCATATTCTTTCGGATTCTCTTCTATTTTCTGGACTCCTTTGTATTCACACATATTTTTTTCGGATTCTCGCGGATACTCTATGAATATTTTGAATTCCTTCGTCTCCTTCAAGTCTCTCTCGGATTCTTTTAAATTTGCTTGAGATTTTCGCATACTTTTTGAATTCCCTCGAATTTTTCCGTATTGTCTGGGATTTTTGCCGAATTCTCTCATATTCCTTTGAATTCTATAGAATTATTTCCCGATTGTTTCGAATTCTTCCGGATTCTTTTCTGTTCTGCTGAATTTCCTTGGATTCTCTAATATGTTTTCAGATTCTTCCAGATTCTCCCGGATTTTCTTAGAAATTGGTCGGATTTTTTTCAGATTCTTACGGATTTTCTTAGAAATTGGTCGGATTTTTTTCAGATTCTTACGGATTCCCCCAGATTCTCTAAGAATATTTTGAATTATCTAGTATTGTTCAGGTGTCTCTCGCATTCTCTCGAATTTCTTCGTATTTTCTCGTGTCTTGTCGGATTATCTCGGATTTTTTCGTATTCTATCGGATTTTTGGTATTCTTTCGCATTTTTTCGAATTCTTTTGGGCTCTCTCGCACTTTTGGGTCTTGTGTTGCATTTTTTCGTATTCCCTCGTATTCTTTGGGATTCTATCAGATTCTTTCGAATCCTCTCTGTTTATTTCGTACTGTCATATTTTTCGCTATTTGTTCGGTTTCTTTAAGATTTTCTAGAATTATTTTCGTATTTTCTCGAATTTTCTCCGGAGTCTCTCGCATTTTTTTTTATGTTCCCTCGTATTCTTTCGGATTCTTCAGGATTCTCTTCTATGCTCCCGAATTTCCGTGGATTCTCTAATATTTTTTTCAGATTCTTTCGGACGCTCTCGGATCTTCTTAGAAATTGATGTACATTTTAAGGTCTTTTGAGTCCTTTTAGATCGTCTATATTCTATTGAGATTTTCGTTATCTGGATCTTTTAAATTTCCGGAATAATCTGGATCAGGTAAATCTTCTAGACACTTTGGATCTGCTAGGATTCCTGAGATCCTATTGATCCTTCTGGATCCTTTATGTCCTCTGAAGAGTTTAGCTAACTAACATCCCCAGATAATCCATATTCATGTATTTTTCGCTATTTGTTCGGATTCTTTAAGATTTTCTAGAATTATTTTCGTATTTTCTCTATTAAGCAATTTGAGATTCTTTAAAATCTTCAAATCCTTCAGTTGTTTGAGATCTTTCATTTTAGTTTCGTGAGGTTCTTATATTTTCTAAATCTTTTAGGTATTCTGGATCCTTCTAAATCTTCTGTATCCTCTGGAGACTTTGACTAATCTAGGTAGATAAATTATTCCCCATATAACCTAGATCCGCTAAATACTCTAGAGCCTTTAAAGCTCCTAGACATTTTAGATTCTTTAAATCCTTCACATCCTTTAGATCTTCGAGATCCTTCATATTGAAAACTTATGCTGATCTATATCCCTAGATAATCTAGATGCTATAAATTCTTTAAATCTTTGAAACGTTTAAGATTCTTTAAATTCTTGAGATTCTTTAACTGTTCGAGATTTTTACACATCTTTTAGATCTTGATCTTTAAGTCCTCCAGGTAATCCGGATCCTCAAACCTCTAGATCTTTAAGATCCTCTACAACCCTACAGATATTTTATAATCCTGCAGAGACTTCACATCCACAAGTTTTTTGGACCCTTTGGGATCCTCTCCCTGTTCTGAAGTATTCTGCTATTCTAGATCCCTAGATAATCCAGATTCTGTAAATCTTTAGATCTTTTACGGTTTTGAATATTTTAGATTCTTTAAATTCTTCAGATCCTTCATATCTTTTAGTTTCTTGAGGTGCCTCACATTTTTAGATCCTGAAACTTTAGGTGTTTTGAATGCCTCTAAATCCTCTAGAGACTCTAGATAATCTTAATCCTGATCTTTAAATTTCCCAGATAGATCTGTTAAATTCTTCACATTCTTTAGACCCGCGAGGTCTTTTAGGACCCTAAGATACTACAGATTTTTAGAATCCTGTAGAGCCTTTACACCATTCAAATCCTTGAAGTTCTTCGGATTCATGTGGATCCTCAAATTCTCTAGATCTTTTAAATATTTGAATTATTTTAGATTCTTTAAAATTCTTGAAACTGTTGCTGTTTGAGATTTTTCTCATCTTTTAAATTTGTGAGGCTTTTCATAAGTTTTAGATCTCTGAGAAGCCTCATATTTTTTAAATCCTTGAGATTCTGTAGCACCTTTAGATGTTTTAGATCCTCTATATCTTCTAGAGACTTTAGCTAATCTTTAAATTTCCTAGATAAGGTAAACCCTGTATATCTTCTAAACCATTTTTAGAATCTTTAAATCCTTAGATATTTCTTGGGATATTTAGATATTTCTTTGGGACTCCCTCGAACTTTTGCGTCTTCTGTGGCATTTTTTTGCGAATTCTCTCATATTCCTTCGGATTCTTTGGAATTTACTTTAATTCTCTCGATTTTTTTTCAGACTCTCTAGGATTTTTTCGTATTCTTTCGGATTCTTCCAGATTCTCTTCTGTTCTTCTGAATTTCCCTGGATTCTCTAATATTTTTTTCAAATTTTTTCGAACGCTCTAGGATCTTCTTGGAAATTAGTCGGATTCTCTTTTATTGTTTGGATTCTTTTCGTATTCTTTCGGATTCTTCCGGATTCTCGCAGATGCTCCAAGAATATTTTGGATTCTCGAATTTCTTCGTTTTCTTTCGGTTTCTTTCGAATTTTTTCGTATTCTAGTGGATTTTTGGTAATCTCTCGTATTTTCTCGGGTTTTTTCCGGACTCTCTCGGATTTCTTCATATTTTCCGGACTCCTTTGTGTTCTCACATATTTTTTTCGGATTGTTTTGAATTCCATCGAATTCTTTAGGCTTCTCCCGGATTCTCTCGAATTTTCTTTTCAAAAACGAAATTTTATGTATCAAAATTTATGCTTGAAAATAAAGGACATAGATATAACTCGGCATCGTTAATCATCCACCCTCCCACCACCCACTTCCCCAGAAATCACGCTACGTGAAAAAGTATCCCACATAAATCAATCATTTATTTAAAAAAAGTAAATATTTCATCGACTAGCGAGTTAAACGCACAACCGACTTTTTTAATCAAAACTACTGCACCGGAAATCAACACACCCAACATTATTTATTAACTCCCCTAGCAAAGCTACAAGTTGCATTCATCTAAAACTTCAGATATAGGTTTTGTAAAGCCGGAATGTCGCTTAAAGGGATTCTTCAGGTCAGCAGACACCGTGAGTCCGGGAAAGTAAGTATGGCTTCTTTGATATTTGTCTATCTTATAATTCCAAAAGGAAGCTGGTGACGAAGTATAAAGCGGAAACTTTTCAAACAACTGCAACAAAAGAAAAGTGGTGAAAACGGAAAACGCATCCAAGTCAATTAATGATCAATTAGAGCAAAACGCGCGCTGGCTCGAAAATCCCGATTAATACAACTAATTATGTGTTTGAAATGCACACACGAGTCGCAAATTGCGTTATTGGCGAGCTAATTACGAGTTAGAGACTGTTTAGTGTGACGGGATCCGACCATTATTGGGATCAATAAAAGCACCTCTTTTTGTTTCTCCTCTTCGTGGCCGTCCTTCTTTATTTTAATATTACTGTTGAAGTTGCCATCGTACTCGGTACAATATTTCTCAACCGGGGGCGGCTCGTCGCGTTGGTTAGTTATTTCTTCAACCGCTTCGTCGAACATTTTTTGGAGCAGTAGTGCTCGTCGGTGACCGACATCTGGAATTTGCGAACACATGAGCATTTGTCGTAAATTAGCTACATGTACGTACTCATGTGTTTCAGTTCTTCTTTAAGCGGAAACGGATAGGTGGATTTCATTGTCGACAACCACTTGGTTTTGGAATGGCTTGTGCATCCGTCTCTTATGAGCCATTTTCTACTATCCCCTCTGTAATTCTCCGTCCAGCATCTTTCCGATATAATACTGTCATCGTCTTTGGTTTTGTTTTCATCACACCCGAACTCAAACTGGTCCATTTCGAGTAAATCTAACGCGATTATTAATTTAGTCGAAAAACTGCCTTTATGACAGTTTTCGGATTTCTGTGTTTGTTTATTCGGTGACTCCGTTTCTCGGTTACGAGCCAGCGAACACTTTTCACTTGTTTAATCAATATAAATGACATCTGGTGTCGTTTGAATCGAATGAGGATTTATAGAGGTGATAAATGTTATGTGTGCCAACAAAAAAAAATTGGTCTAAAGAGTTTAGACAGTACTTCCCTCGCTGTCGGAAACTTGACGACTGCATGCCTATTGTGTTTTTTCTCATTACATTTTTGTAGTGGGAATTTAAAAAAAAATTGCGATGACGTCATCAACATTTTTGCAAGGACACGTATATCAGTTGGGATAGATGTAGTGTAATACTAAGAATAAAATTATTATATTCTCAAATTTTCGGGAAAACGAATTGGGTCGTTTTGAATATTGATTTGTAATAATCAATAAAATAACGAAACAATTTACTCACGTATACGTATCAGAGGCAACTGAAAATCGTGTATGTATAAACATTCTTAATTTAAGATGACAGGCGTAACAGCATACGTGAGAGTCAAACAGAGAAACTGTAAACAAAACGACCATCGGTTTTATTGCTTCGACTTCCGCTTATTATATAAAACATTGGGTTTTATTTTAATTCTTGACGGTGAAATTCACAATTGGTTGATTATAAACATGTCTATTTCACATTCGCGGAATCAAGTGAACGCATAAAACAAATGCAGGTCTGTAATGTTAAAGTCGATGTAAATAAGCGTGCTACCCTTATGTTTCAACCGAGTTTTTCCTTTAACAAATTTTGTGTCTACCAAATTGGGTTGGTTGGGGTGTAATACTAATAATAAGTGTTGCCTTTAATTTAATCAATAAAATAAATTGACTTCATTAATTTTTTTGAACCACCTCTTAAGAAAATCTAAAAAATATGAATGGAATGATAAATCACAAGTACAAACTCATCATATTTTTTGCATTTTAGATAGGATTTATTCAGCAAAATTTAAGGGTGACGTCATCAATTTTTTAGGAGGGATGAACAAATACATTTTGAACAAAAGTTTACCATGCTTATAATAACTTTAAAATATTCCCAAGATTTCAAAGCATTCGGTTTTGTAATTCCTGATTAAATCGATAAAATAAATTCACGCCTTCATTAATTTTTTTGAGTCACCCTGCATATGCAAATCCAAAAATATGAATGGAATGATAAATCACAAGTACAGACTCATCATATTTTGTACATTGTAGATACGATTTATTCGGAAAACTTTTGAGCTGACCTCATCAGTTTTTTGTAGAAGATAACCAAATATATTTTGACTAAAAATTTATTATGCTCTTTATAACCTTAAAACATCTGCAAGATTTCAAAGCATTCGGTTTTGTAGTTCCTGATTAAATCAATAAAATAAATTTACGCATTCATTAATTTTTTTGAGTCACCCTGTATATGCAAATCGAAAAAATTTGAATGGAATGATAAATCACAAGAAGAGACTCACCATATTTTGTACATTTTAGATAGGATTTTTTCAGCAAAATTTTGTGGTGACATCATAAATTTTTTAGGGGGGACGACCAAATACGTTTTGATCAAAAATTTACCATGCTTATGATAATTTTAAAATGTTTTCAAGATTTCGAAGCATTCGGTTTTGTAGTTCCTGAGTAAATCAGTAAAATAAATTTACGCTTTCATTTATTTTCTTGAATCACCGTGTATATGCAAATCCAAAAAATATGAATGGAGTGATAGATCACAAGTACAGACTGATCATATTTTGTACATTTTAGATATGATTTATTCGGCAAATTTTCGCGCTGACGTCATCAAGTTTTTGGAGGGGATAAGGAAATATATTTTGACTAAACATTTATTATGCTCTTTATTACCTTAAAACATCTGCAAGATGTCAGAGCATTCCGTTTTGTAGTTCCTGATTAAATCAATAAAATATATTTACGCATTCATTAATTTTTTTGAGTCACCCTGTATATGCAAATCCAAAAAATATGAATGGAGTGATAAATTGCAAGTACAGACTCATCATATTTTTACAGTTTGGATAGGATTTATTCGGCAAACTTTCGAGCTGACGTCATCAATTTTTTGGAGGGGATAAGCAAATATATTTTGACTAAACATTTATTATGCTCTTTATAACCTTAAAACATCTGCAAGATTTCAAAGCATTCGGTTTTGTAGTTTCTGAGTAAATCAGTAAAATAAATTTACGCATTCATTAATTTTTTTGAGTCACCCTGTATATGCAAATCCAAAAAATATGAATGGAGTGATAGATCACAAGTACAGACTCATCATATTTTATACATTTTAGATATGATTTATTCCACAAACTTTTGAGCTGACGTCATCAAGTTTTTGGAGGGGATAAGCAAATATTTTTTTACTAAAGATTTATGATGCTCTTTATAGCCTTAAAACATCTGCAACATTTCAAAGCATTCTGGTTAGCAGATTAAAAATTAAATTTCAAAATGTTGTTTTATAATTTTGATTTTTTTTTCCAAAAATCTGGACGTTTCGGGTGAAAAGTCGATTCAGAGTTGTAAACTACATGTGTAGGACTATGTTATTTTATACAATTGAAAACCCATTTACTATGTACAATTTTGAAGTGACGTCATCGCATTAGTGGTGGGGATGATTAGACAAATTTTGGTTAGCGTTTTACCATCTACATGATATTCTTAATATAAGTACAAAATTTCACAACAATCGGTCGGGTACTTTCGGAGATTATCTGTCTAATAAAAATCCGGGACGGCAGACGAACAGACGGACAGACGGACAGACAGACGGAAATGGGAGACCTATTTCTTCGTCTTCTAGGGGTCATGAAAGATCGAGAAAACGTAAAAGTAGAGAGTCGGCCGACGGACTCGATTACAATACTTCCTTTGCTTACGCTCGGGAAGTAAAAATTAATTTAATCCAATACAGAGTGTCCCAGCACGGTATTTAAGTTTTTACACGTGCACGAACTCGATAATTGCGTATTTATATCTTTATTGCTGCATGCCGTTTATTGAAAACATTCACCGCTCTTCTAATTATTAATGATTTCATTTAAACTCGAACGACTGTTTGTTCCGCTTTGGTTAACAATAATAATTCGGTAATTTTAACGCAGAGGTTTAATTTTAACAAGCTATTTTAATATGCTGTGGATTTGGTTTATTATGAAATAAAAATACCTATCGCTGCGTATTTGGAAGGTCGCTTTGTTTTAAAAATTATTTTATTCTGCGTCTGCGGTTGCGAGTCTTTCGTTGTGTAGTTCAAGGACGGCAGGCTAATAATGTCATTTTCGATTACGGAAGCAAAAAAATGGCGATTATTTCAGAGGTGCGAATTCAGCGAGGTCAATTTTTTGTGGGTTGTGATTTTTTAAGAGGTGTTTCACCTCAAGTGGGTTGTTTAATTATTTTGTAATTACTGCAAGGGTACGAAGCCATAACCTTGTTTTTTAATCGCACTGCAACCTTAAAAATTGTACGTGATGAAAATTTCAAATGAATAAAGAAATGGTTGTGCGAGAGGTCCTCATGTCAGATTTCAAGTTAATTCATTTTGGTGATATAGGCAACCAACAATACAGACGCGCGTATAAAACCGAGTTACAACGTAAAGGTTTGATTTAAATTGTTTGCTCATGGATGACTTGACATTTTTGTTTTTGTCTAGGTTCTATTAAGAAAAATAATTGCCAAAATTCACAAATTTATTACAGAACATACAAATTATTAACAAAAACTTATAAACAAATAATAAAAGAAACCAAATATGAAAAAACAAAGGTAAATTATAGTTTGCTAATAAACCTATTCAAATTGTCACATCGCTGACTCATCACGTGACGTGTTTGCTTCGAGTTTGACTTTTCGATTTCTCGATGTTCGAATTTTCCGATTTCTCGACTGATCGATTTCTCCATGTTATTCAACGGTTTTTCGTCTTTTCGATTTTTCAGTTTTTCAATTTTTCGACACCCGATTTTTTCGATTATTCGAATTTACGACTTCTCGACTTTTCAATTATTCTGTTTGTCAATTGTTCGATTCTCCGATTCTTTTACTTCTAATTTCGCGATTTTTCGACTTTTCGACTTTTAATTTTTCGATTTTTCGGTTTTCGTTTTATCCATATTTCGACTTTTTGATTTTTCAATGTTTCAATTTTTCGATTTTTCGACTTTTCGATTTCTCGATGTCTCTATTTTATGATTTTTCGCCCTTACGATTTTTCCGTTTTTCGATTTCTTGCTATTTCGATTTTCCGATTTTCAATTCTTCCATTTCGATTACTCGATTCCTCGGTTTTTTGATTTCTCAATTTTTTCAATATATAGAGAGTTCGAGGATTCTGGTGTTCTAAAGTTTTGAGGATTCTGGTGTTCTGAGGAATTGGGAATTTTAGTGTTCTGAAGATTTGGGGATTATGGTGTTCTGAGGATTTCAGGATTATGCTGTTCTGAGGATTTGAGAATTATGCTGTTCTGAGGATTTGAAGAATATGCTGTTTTGAGGACTTGAGGATTTTGGTGTTTTGAGGATTTGAGGATTATGGTGTTTTGAGGATTTGAGGTTTATGGTGTTTTGAAGAATTGAGGATTTGAGGAATTTGGTGTTTTGAGGATTTGAGGATTATGGTGTTCTGAGGATTTGAGGATAATAGTGTTTTGAGGATTTGAAGATTATGCTGATCTGAGGATTTGAGAATTCTGGTGTTCTGAGGATTTGAGGATTATGGTTTTCTGAGGATTTGGTTGATGAGAGGATGAGAGGATAAGAGGATGAAAGGATGAAAGGATGAGCGGATGAAAGGATAAGAGGACAAGAGGACGAAAGCACAGAATGGACAGAGAGGACAGGAAGGACAGGAAGGAGAAAGGTTGAAAAGAATAGAAAGGATAGACAGGATAGAAAAGATAGAAAGGACGAAGAAGTTCGAAAAGAACGAAAACGGACGAAGAAGGACGAAACGGACGAAAAGGACGAACAGGACGAAAAAGGACGAAAAGGATGAAAAAGAACGACAAAGGACGAAAAAGGAAGAAAACGTTCGAAAAAGGACGAAAAGGACGAAAAAGAACGACAAAGGACGAAGAAGGACGAAAAAGGAAGAATAAGGACGAAAAGGACGAGAAAGGACGAAAAGGACGAAAAAGGAGGACAAGAACGAAAATGACGAGGGACGAAAAGGACGAAGAAGGACGAAAAAGGACGAAGAAGAACGAAAAAGGTCGAAAAAGGACGAGAAGGACGAAAAAGGACGACAATGACGAAAAAGGACGGCAAGAAAAAAAGAAGACGAAAAGGACGAAAAGGACGAAAGATACGAAATAGGACGAAAAGGATGACAAAGGACGAAAAAGGACGAAAAGGACGACGAAGTTCGAAGAAGGACGAAAACGGACGAAGGACGAAACTGACGAAAAGAACGAAAAGGATGAAAAAGTACGAAAAGGACGAAAAACACGAAATAGGACGAAATGGACGAGAAAAAGGATGAAAAGGGCCAGAAAGATGAAAAGGGACGACAAAGGACGAACAGGACGAAAAAAGACAAAGAGGACGAAAAAGAACGACAAACGATGAAAAAGAATGAGAAAGGAAGAAGAAAATCGAAAAAGGAAGAATAAGGACGAAAAGGACGAGAAAGGACGAAAAGGACGAAAAAGGAGGACAAGAACGAAAATGACGAGGGACGAAAAGGACGAAGAAGGACGAAAAAGGGCGAAGAAGAACGAAAAAGGTCGAAAAAGGACGAGAAGGACGAAAAAGGACGACAATGACGAAAAAGGGCGGCAAGAAAAAAAGAGGACGAAAAGGACGAAAAGGACGAAAGATACGAAATAGGACGAAAAGGATGACAAAGGACGAAAAAGGACGAAAAGGACGACGAAGTTCGAAGAAGGACGAAAACGGACGAAGGACGAAACTGACGAAAAGAACGAGAAGGATGAAAAAGTACGAAAAGGACGAAAAACACGAAATAGGACGAAATGGACGAGAAAAAGGATGAAAAGGGCCAGAAAGATGAAAAGGGACGACAAAGGACGAACAGGACGAAAAAGGACAAAGAGGACGAAAAAGAACGACAAACGATGAAAAAGAATGAGAAAGGAAGAAGAAAATCGAAAAAGGACAAAAAAGGACGAAAGAGGACGAACAGGACGAATAATACGAAATAGGAGGAAAAGGACGAGAAAAAGGACCAAACAGGACGAAAAGGACGAAAAGGACCAATAAGGACGAAAAGGACTATAAAAGACGAAAAAAGACGACAAAGGACGAGAAAGAACGAGAAAGGACGAGGAAGGACGAGGAAGGACGAGGAAGGACGAAGAAGAACGAAAAAGGGCGACAAACAATGAGAAAGGACGAAATAGGACGAAAAGGATGAGAAAAAGAACGAGAAAGGACGAAAAGGACGAACAAAGAGGAAAAAGGACGTAAAGGACGAACAAGGACGAAAAAAAACGAAAAAGGACGGAAAGGACGGAAAGGACGGAAAGGACGAAAAACGACGAAAAAGAAAGAAAAAGGACAGCAAGGACGAAACAGGACGAGAAGGACGAAAATGATGGAAAAAGGACGAAAAAGGACGAGAAAGGTCGAAAAAGGACGAAAAGGACGTAACGGACGAAGGACATAAAGGACGAAAAAGAACGACAAAGGACGAAAAAGGACAGAAAGGACAAAAAAGGATGAGAAAGGACGAAAAGGGACGAAGAATGACGAAAAAGGGCGACAAACAATGAGAAACGACGAAATAGGACGAAAAGGATGAGAACAAGGACAAAAAAGGATGAGAAAGAACGAAAAGGGACGACAAAGGACGAAAAAGACAGAAAGGACGAAAAGGACGAAAAATGACGTAAAAAAACGAAAAGGACAAAGAAGGACGAACAGGACTAAAGAGGACGACAAGGACGAAAAATACGAAATAGGACGAAAAGGACGAGAAAAAGGACGAAAAAGGACGAAAAGGACGAACAAGGAGGAAATAGGACGAAAAGGAAGAACAAGGATGAAAAAAAGACGAAAAAGGACGAAAAGGACCAAAAAGGAAGAAAAGGACGACAAAGGACGAAAAAGGACAAAAAAGGACGGATAGAACGAATCAGGACGACAAGGACGAAAATGACCGAAAGAGGACGAAAAAGTACGAGAAAGCTCGAAAAAGGACGAAAAGTACGTAACGGACGAAGGACAAAAAGGACGAAAAAGAACGACAAAGGACGAATAAGGAGGAAAAAAGACGAATAAGGACGAAAAGGACGAAAAAGGAAGAAAAGGACGACAAAAGACGAAAAAGGACGGAAAGGACGAAACAGGACGACAAGAACGAAAATGACGGAAAGAGGACGAAAAAGGACTGGAAATGTCGAAAAAGGGCGCAAAGGACGTAACAGACGAAGAAGGACAAAAAGGACGAAAAAGGATGGCAAAGGACAAAAAGTAAGAGAAAGGACGAAAAGGGACGAAAAAGGATGAAAAGGACTAGAAAGAACAAAAAAGGACGAAGAGGACGAAAAAGAACGACAAAGGACAAGAAAGGACGAAAATGGACCAAAAAGGTCGAAGAGGACGAAAAAGGACGAAAAAGAACGACAAAGGACGAATAAGGAAGGAAAGGACGAAAAAGGATGAGAAAGGACGAAAAGGGACGAAAAAGGACGAAAAGGACTAGAAAGGACGTAGAAGGACGAAAAAAGACGAAAAAGGACGAAAAGGACTAGAAAGGACGTAAAAGGACGAAAAAAGACGAAAAAGGACGAAGAGGACGAAAAAGAACGACAAAGGACAAGAAAGGACGAAAATGGACCAAAAAGGTCGAAGAGGACGAAAAAGGACGAAAAAAAAGAAAAAGACGACAAAGGACGAAACAGGACGAAAATGGACGAATAGGACGAAAAAGGACGATAAAGGACGAAAAGGACGAAGAAGGACGAAGAAGGACGAGAAAGGACGAAAAAGAACGACAAAGGACGAAAAAGGACGAAGAGGACGAAAACAGACGAAAAGGACGAAGGACGGAAAAGGATGGCAAAGGACGAAAAGGAAGAAAAAGGACGTAAAGGACGAAAAAGGACGTAAAGGGCGAAAGAGGACGAAAAAGGACGAAAAAGAACGACAGAGGACGAAAAGGACGAAAAAGGACGAAAAGGACTAGAAAGGACGAAAAAGGACGAAAAGGACGAAAAGAACGAAAAAGATTAAAAGGACGAAAATTACGAAAAGGACGAAAAGAACGAAAGGGACGAGGTTGAGGATTATGCTGCTCTGAGGATTTGAGGATTCTGGTGTTCTGAGGATTTGAGGAATAATCAGATTTTTCAGTTTTTCGATATTTTCTTTTTCTCGGTATTTCGATTTTCGTTTTCTACATTTGTCGGTTTTTCGATTTCTCAATTTTTAATTAGTCAGTTTTTCCAGTTTTTAATTTTTCGACTTCCTGATTTTTTTTTTTAATTCTATTACGTCTCCAACAGGCCCGAGGCCCAATTACAGGAAAGCAGGAGACATGAATTCTCGATTTTCGACTTTACGACTTCTCGACTTTTCAGCTTTACGAATTCTTGGTATTTCAATATTGCGAGTTCTCAATTTTTCGGTATTTCGATTTTTAGATTTTCGTTTTCTCAATTTTTTAATTCGTCAATTTTTCAATTTTTCAATTTGTCAACTTTCCAATTTCTCGATATTTTGATTTTACTCAACTGTTAGTTCTATTTTTCGATTTCTCAATTTTTTTATTCTTCGATTTTTTATTTTCGATGTCCTGATTTATCAGTTTCGTGATTTTTCGACTTTTCGATTTTTCGATTTCCCAATTTTTTAATGTCAAGGTTTCATTTCTGATTTCTCCATGTTTCGATTTCACGACTTTCCATTTTTTATATTTTTCGTTTTTTGTTTTTTCGATATTATTTCAGTTGTAGGATATCGATACAAGAGTCTCAGGGTGGCATCCCCTTGCCCCCCACCATGGGCGCCAATGAATCCACCTTTAGTGGTTTTATTAGTGGTTTTAGCCAGTAGATGCAATTCTGAATCATACCGATTAAATTTAAAGAGTGTTAAACTGCAAATTTCCATAGCAACGAGTTAAGTTCGTAAATCTGATTGGCTGTTTATTTTTTTGATTCAGAATTGGCCCCAAAGACTTCTTATTTCTACAGTAGCGGTCATTTCTACGGAACCACTCGATAAAAAGTCAAGTTGGTAGCCCTGTCATCTAGTACTTTACGCCAAACGCGGTTGGTAGCGGTAGTTGACATGGCAATCGAAATTAGCACAACACGAATGTTTCGGTTGCCCTCAGCTATGCCGCACTGTATCCCGTGCAGACTGTATGTTCTGTTCATCTATTTATTAAAATAAAATATCTACATTGACAATGGGGCCATCTAACCTGTCAAATTTTTGACACATGTTTTCCCCCAGAAACCCGTCAAGGTCGCTTACACCAAACAAATTTTGAAAATTTACACTAGGGAGTGGTTCTATAGAAAAGATCGCGACTTTAAACGGGACACAATTCGTAGACACTCGTGAATGCACGTAACTAGATCACTGCTACCAAAGTAAATAAAAAAATGTTGCCTTATGTCTACTAATCAAACAAAATTGATTTAAAAACCAACAATTGTTTTTTTAATTTGTATTACTGGAGCCCCTGAAACACGTCCGTCACTGTACCAAAGGGAAAACCTCGTACTCCTCACTCCCTTCATCAACTCATTCCAATATCTCTGATTGTCAACAAGACAAAATTATAACCTCAAAACCATGTTCAGTGTAAACGTGTGTATTTACTTCATTTAACGCACATTCATGTTATTTCCACCCAAAAATGAATAAAATCGCCAGAAAATACCTTGTGTGGTTTGCACAAGAGCACACCGAGTTTCGTTCCGCGGTAAAAATTTATTATACCTTCACAAATAACCCTAACTCACAATTTTAGGAGATCGATTCCTTACGCGCAATGCTAAAAACCGACATGAAACCCTGCGACAACCCAGACACCAACGTAAGTACGAACCCCGTTTCAAATCACCTAAATTAAAAAAAAATCAGGCCCCCTACTGGATCGTCGAATCCGCGTCAGAAACCGACCTCAAACGCCTAGTTAACAGATCCGTGTCCATCCGGTCGTGCTTCGAGCTGTGGGCGCACGCCAAAAACATCGACGATTTGCACCAAAAGCTGCGAAATTACCCCAGACACTTGATGGAGCCCTACTTCCAAAAAGACCTGTCTTTCAAAATTCAAGTGGAGACGTTTTGCAAGCACTTGACCCAAAAGGAGAAAGTTAACAAGTTGGAAGTAAGTATGAGACCCTGTGTGTTTTAAATGCAGCCTGGTAGTCAATTTTAGACTTTCAGTTATCTGCCTATTAAGGGACCGGTGAAGCTGACTGACCCTGATGTGTGTTTACAATACATTGAGTACTATGGGACCAACGCGAACGACCCGCCTGAGTTTCCGTACTTCGTGTTTTTTGGGCGATGGGTGGGTTTTTGTCATTGTATTGATAGTGTCAAACTAGTTTTTGTAGGTGGCTGGCGGATTGCGAAATTTAATGAAGAAATTGTCCCTCAAAACTAGAAAATTCATAGGGAACACGAGCATGGACCCGCAATTGTCGCTCCTAATGGCCAATCAGGCGCAAGTTAGAAGTGGGGATATGGTGTTAGACCCATTTGTGGGGTCTGGGTCGCTTCTGGTGGCGGCTGCCGAGTTCGGGGGTTACGTCATAGGTGGCGATATTGACTACTTGATGTTGCACGCACGAACAAGACCGTCGCGAATCACACAAAAAGTACAACAAAAAAATTTTTTTTTTTGTAATTACTTAAGTCATATTTTAGGAACGTTCAGCCGACGAAAGTATTAAAGCCAACATGGACCAATATAATTTACAACACCGCTACCTAGACGTGCTCATCAACGACTTTGCGCTGTCGTTTTGGCGCGACAACGTCGAATTTGACTCCATAATAACAGACCGTAATTTTTTTGTATTTATAAAATTTGGTTTAAATAATTTTTGTAGCGCCTTATGGAATTCGGGAAGCCACGGAGCGCGTCGGAACCAATAAAGAAAACTTCAAGGTGAGCGAAGAGCACCTATCATCCCACATTCCAGCCAAAATTGAGTACGGAATTTCCAACATATACAAGGACTTGCTAAATTTTTCCGCCAAACATCTGCGACTAGGCGGACGCCTTGTCTGCTGGTTTCCCGTTTTCAGAGAGGACTACAAAGAAGAAGGACTTCCAGGTCACCCTTGTTTGGACTTGGTGGCCAACTGTGAGCAAGTTCTGAGCAAAGTTACGTCCAGACGGCTTCTGACGTTTGAAAAAATCCGTCAACCAGAGGCGTCTGAGCTAAATCTAGAGTGCAACATAACGGACTTCCGGGAAAAATATTTTATAGTGCGGGAGGAAACGAGGAAGGAGAGACGGACGAGAGAGGCGCGAGTGCGCAAAGAGAACTGGATAAAATCGGGGAAAAACAAAGACAATTTAATAAAATAAAGCGTCAAAATTTTTACTTTTTAACCCGTTTTTGATTACTTTTCCGGAAAACTTTCCCTTGTGGCGTGCCGATTTTACCTTGATGCGTTTTTTCCGGTTTCCGTTTCCTATTTATTGTTGGTCTAGTGGCCCGAGATGACGTAAACAAAGCTAGAACAATTGTTATAGAAAGAAAATCACTAAATTTGTGACTTAGTTACTTTTATCTGGTTCCTGTCCAACTTCTTGTCTATAATATTCAGCATCGTCATCCGCTTCCACAGAAACGTTCTTAGATTCGTCAAATTTCACGTTCTTCATTCCTTGTAAAGATTTCTTCTTCAGTTCTTCTCTCACAAGTTCCTTTTTCTCTTTATTCTTGTCTTGGATTTTTTTGCGCTTCTCTTTTAGTTTCCTTCAAAACAACAATAAATTTAATTGGAAAACAAAAACAAAAAATTACTTCTTCGCCTCTCGCTTCTTCTGTATAAACAACTTCTCTTCATCCGTTTTTTCAATCAAATCGTGGTACAAAACCTCCCCATCAAGCAACCCATCTTCAATTTTTATTAATTGTAGGGTCAACCTTGGGCCTACTTCAGTCAGTTTGATTGACGATTTTCCGGATTCGACGTTCCCCCTAGAGACGATTTTCTGCGGTAAAGTCACCTGGTGATTGGGATCATCTTCAGCTTCACTCTCTGAAAGCACCCCCGACCTAAAACCACCCTTTAGTCGCTATTATTATGACTTTTAGTGTCCCCATACTTGGTTAAAAAGTCCGCAATGTCGCTACAATGATTAAGATTAGGCACTTTGCCCTGTACAACCTTTTTCACCCCCTTGGAAATCCCCACAGGAATTACTTTAATGACGTAGTGCCTGAAATCAATGAATTTTGTTGTGGGGTTGTAATTAAGTAAAACGCAACGTCTGACGTCATTTAAATCCACCTACAACGACACACTATTAAAAAAAAAAATAAAAAAATAGTTTTAATCAAATTACGTTAGTCAGGTTTAAAGTTGGAAACATATTCTGGAACATCGACGTCATCAACTTCATGTGCATGCTCTCACCGCTAAAACTATTCAAAACAATCAAAGGCGAGTGTTTAAACGCCGCCTCCACCACGTTTTGTCGTTTCAAACAAGAAACTACGTCACGTGCCAACGAGAAATTGTGGATTTTGAAAGTCAGCGTGGGCCCCCTTGGTAAACGGCTAATTTTCAAGTATAAACCGAGTTCGGTTCTCGAAAAAATCACTAAATGAGATACGTGTAATAATCCCGCGACGGCCACAAAGTCTTTGATGGTGTTTTTCCTGCGTTCCTTAAAAATACAAAAATAATGCATTGAGTCATATGTATGAAGGGGGTTACCTTTAGTGAAGTCGCCGTGAAAGGTTCCATGAGTTTTCTGAAGTCCTTTGTCAGTTCTGTCAAGTGGCCCCCTGGAAGCCCTTTACGTATGACGAAGGTGTGGGGCGCCTGCACTAGGTTTTCGGGCTCTGTGGTGGCGTTTTTGTTGTTTTTGGCGCAACGGCCCTTCCCTTTTCGTTTCCCCATTTTGGACACGATAACTATGTTTTAGAGGTTATGTGAGGTTAGGTTTCCAAAGCATGTTTTGGTGAGTTGTAGTGGGGGAAGTGTAGACATAGATTAATATGGATGCGACAACCATGTTTTTTGCAAAACTACCCGTATTGACATTGGAGTCCTCAAGCGCCAAATTTAAATAGTCGATGCCAATAAAAACACTTGATTCACTACTGAGTGGACTAAATGAATTTTTTTGGCACATATTTAGATGATTTTACATATTTTGTTTAACTAAGAATTAATTCTTTATTTGTGTTTTATACTAGCGAAACGTCTTTAACTAAGAATATTGTTGAAATCGTAATAACCCAATGGATTTTTTTCGGGAAAACGTTTTGGAAACACTGTGTTCTATGTTGTATTAATTTTTTTTAATGTTTTTAGAGACAATTTTTGTGGTTGTTTTCGATACACTGCCTAATATTAACAGTGAGAAAAAAAAGAAAAATTAAAATTATCGAAAATTCGAAAAATCGAGAAATCAAAAAACTTAAAAATTCGAAAAATTGAGAGATTGAAAGATCCAAAGAACGAGAAATCGAAAAGTGATGAAGTCGAAAAATGGAAAAATAGAGAAATCGACAAACAAAAAGTTAAAAGTTGAAAAATTGGAAAAGCAGAAAAATCAAAAAACGAAAAATGCAAAACTGGAAAAACTGAGAAACCGAAATAGGTCAAAATAAAAGTTGAAAAACTGAGAAATCGAAAACTTGAACAATCAAATCTCGATAAATCGGGAATGAAAAATTAACAAATCGAAAAATTGAAAAACAGAACATCTCAAACCAGGAAGTCGAAAAATAAAAAGATTAAGAAATATTGAAACATTAAAATATCAAAAGATTGAAAAATCTAAAATTTAAAAATCCAAAAATTGAAAAATCGAAAAAGTAAAAAGGTAGACACACGAAAAACCCAGAAGTCAAAAATAGAAAAATTGAGCAACAGAAAAATCCAAAAACTGAAGTCGAAAAATTGAAACCTTAAAAAATTAAAAAATAAAAAATCAAAAACCTGAAAAATCGAAAAATTAAAAAATTGAAGAACAGGAATATCGAAACCCTCGAAAGTCAAGAAATGGGAAAATCAAAACATCGATTAATTGAAAAACCGAAAAATTGACAGTTTATAAATGTCAAATTTGAAAAATTAAAAAATCGAAAATTTGACAAAATGGCAATTGAAAAACAGAAAATCTAAAACCGGGAAGTCGAAAAATCAAAAGGTTAAGAAATCGAAACATTTGAAAAATTCGAAAACTTGAAAAATTGAAATATCGACGAATAGAAATGAAAAATCGAGAAATCGAAAAATCTAAAATTTTAAAAATTAAAAAATCTAATTTAAAAATCGAAAAAGTAAAAAAATCGACACATCGAAAGGTCGAAGAATCGAAATATTGAAAAATCCTAAAACTGAAATATCGAAAAACTGAAAAATGAAAGAAAAACTAAAAATGGGAAACTAAATCGGGAAATCAAAACATTGAAAAATCGAAAAATTTAAAATAACAATTGAAAACAAAATATAAAACCGGGAAGTCGAAAAATCGAAAGATTAAGCAATCGAAAAATTGAAAAATCGAAAAATTAAAAAAATCGACACATCGAAAACTCCAGAAGTCAAAAATCGAAAAGTCAAAGAATCAAAATATTGAAAAATCCAAAAACTGTAAAATGAAAAAAAAAATTGAAAAATGGAAAACCTGAAAAATTCGAAAACTGAAATATCCAAAAACTGAGAACCTAAAAAGTCGAAAAATTGAGCAACAGAAAAATCCAAAAAGTGAAGTCGACAAATTAAAACCTTAAAAATATAAAAACACAAAAAATCAAAAATCTGAAAAATCGAAAAATTAAAGAATTGAAGAACCTCGAAAGTCAAGAAATGGGAAAATCAAATATCGATTAATTGAAAAATCGAAGAATTGACAGTTTATAAATGTCAAATTTGAAAAATTGAAAAATCGAAAATTTGAAAAAACGTCAATTGAAAAACTGAAGTATCGAAAAACTGAAATGAAAAATCTAGAATTTGAAAAATCTAAAATTTTAAATATTGAAAAATGAAAATATCAAAAAACTGAAAAATCTAAAATTCAAAAATCCAAAAATTGAAAAATCGAAAAAGTAAAAAGGTAGACACATCGAAAAACCCAGAAGTCAAAAATAGAAAAGCCGGAGAATTGAAATATTGAAAAATCCTGAAACTGAAATATCTAAAAACTGAAAAATCGAAAAATCAAAAAAGTGAAGTCGAAAAATAGAAACCTTAAAAAATCGAAAAATTGAAAAATCAAAAACCTGAAAAATTAAAAAATTAAAGATTTGAAGAACAGGAAAATCGAAACACTCGAAGGTCAAGAAATGGGAAAATCAAAACATCGATTAATTGAAAAATCGAAAAATTGACAGTTTATAAGTCAAATTTGAAAAATTAAAAAATCGAAAATTTGACAAAATGACAATTGAAAACCAGAAAATCTAAAACCGGGAAGTCGAAAAATCAAAAGATTAAGAAATCGAAACATTTGAAAAATTCGAAAACTTGAATAATTGAAATATCGAAGAACTGAAATGAAAAATCGAGAAATCGAAAAATCGATAATTTTAAAAATTAAAAAATCTAAAATTTAAAAATCGAAAAATTGAAAAATCGAAAAAGTAAAAAAATTGACACATCGAAAAATCCAGGAGTCAAAAATCGAAAAGTCGAAGAATCGAAATATTGAAAAATCTCAAAACTGAAATTTCGAAAAACTGAAAAATGAAAGAAAAACTGAAAAATGGAAATCCAGAAAAATTCGAAAACTGAAGTATCCAAAAACTGAGAACCTAAAAAGTCGAAGAATAGAGCAACAGAATAATCCAAAAAGTGAAGTCGAAAAATTGAAACCTTAAAAAAATAAAAAAATAAAAAATAAAAAATCAAAAACCTGAAAAAATCGAAAAATTAAAGAACTAAAGAACAGGAATATCGAAACCCTCGAAAATCAAGAAATGCGAAAATCTAAACATCGATTAATTGAAAAATCGAAAAGTTGACAGTTTATAAATGTCAAATTTGAAAAATTGAAAAATTGAAAATTTGAAAAAACGACAATTGAAAAAAAGAAAATCTAAAACCGGGAAGTCGAAAAATCGAAAGATTAAGCAATCAAAAAATTGAAAAATCGAAAAATTCAAAAAATCGACACATCGAAAACTCCAGAAGCCAAAAATCGAAAAGTCAAAGAATTAAAATATTGAAAAATCCCAAAACTGAAATATCGAAAAACTGAAAAATGATAGAAAAACTGAAAAATGGAAAACCTGAAAAATTCGAAAACTGAAGTATCCAAAAACCAAGAACCTAAAAAGTCGAAAAATTGAGCAACAGAAAAATCCAAAAAGTGAAGTCGAAAAATTGAAACCTTAAAGAAATTAAAAAATAAAAAATCAAAAACCTGAAAAATCGAAAAATTAAAGATTTTTTTTTTATTATTTAGGAATATCGAAACCCTCGAAAGTCAAGAAATGGGAAAATCAAAACTTCGATTAATTGAAAAATCGAAAAATTGAGGTTTATAAATGTCAAATTTGAAAAATTGAAAAATCGAAAATTTGAAAAAACTACAATTGAAAAACAGAAAATCTAAAACCCGAAAGTCGAAAAATCGATTAATTAAAAAATCAAAACATTTGAAAAATTCGAAAACTTGAAAAACTGAAATATCGAAGAACTGAAATGAAAAATCGAGAAATCGAAAAATCTAAAATTTTAAATATTAAAAAATTAAAATATCAAAAAAACTGAAAAATCTAAAATTTAAAAATCGAAAAATTGAAAAAACGACAATTGAAAAACAGAAAATCTAAAACCGAGAAGTCGAAAAATCGAAAAATTAAGACATCGAAACATTTGAAAAATTGAAATATGGAAGAGCTGAAATGAAAAATCGAGACATCGAAAAATCAGAAGTCAAAAATGGGAAAGTCGAAAAACACATATACTGAAAAATCCCAAAACTGAAATATCCAAAAACTGTGAATCTAAAGAATCGAAAAATTGAGAAATCGAAAAATCAAAAAAGTGAAGTCGAAATATCGAACCTTAAAAAAATCAAAAAATTGAAAAATCGAAAACCTGCAAAATCGTAAGGTCGAAAAATTGGATAATAAGTAAACTGACAAATCCCAAAACTGAAACGTCCAAAAACTGAGAAATTAAAAAATTGAAAAATTGAGAAATTGAAAAATCAAAAAAGTGAAATTCAAAAATCGAAACCTGAAAAAATTGAAAAACCAAGAAACCTGAAAAATTTGGCCTGAGTGCTCTTTGGTCTGTAGATCAAACAAGTTCTCAGACGACGAACTGTAATTCGTGTGACCTGAATTAAAGTGAAGGAAACAGTAAGCAACTTGCAATATTCTGGTAAATCTAGTGTCAATTTGTCGAAAGTAAAACGCGTCGTTAAAAATATTATGACATTTTTTCTAGTTAATTTTATTCCTAGTTAGAAATAAACACTGTTGCCAACATAAGTCGAATAGTTCTCAATCGTCATTTAATTTACACTATGACGCTTCTCTATGTTCTCTGGTGTAGATGTCGCTAATCAAATGTCAAATTTCTAAATTGTAATTTGGACCTCAACTAGAGTACTTGTGACCCTGTGAGAAAGAGAATATCAGTCTGGAACAAAACGAATTCAGATAATTTTACCATAGTAACAAGTTAAAAATTAAAAAATTAAAAATGTATAGGCAACCCATTAAACACATTGCAAGTCTGAAACTGTGTAATGTATGTTGCATAATTTTATTTAAATAAATTCTTGATAGAAAAAATAATGCTATAATAAAACTATAACACGAAATTACTAAAGTACTTAATTATAAATACTCTAGTGTCAAATTTGCGCAAGCTGCTTTATTGTTGAACAAAACGTAAACACAACCATTCAAGAAATGATTATTGCTTTATTGTTTTGAAAACAGTGAACAAAGCAATTCCGCGATACAAAAAATCGACTTAAACCTCTTCCGAGAAACCTTTTGCGACCCAAGTTTGCGTCAACGCAAAAACGAACACAATAATTTGCGTGAACTTTTAAACAGCTTATGTCTACAGAAACAAAAAGTGAACGTGAGGTGGCAAGCGCTCGCAAATTTTAATGATGTGCGTGTGAATAACAAACGCGGCGTGCGGATTCTATATAAGAGTCAGGGCACCCCGAGACCCCACAAAATCCGCATAGATGGTAGTCTTATCCTGGCTGGTGGTCGCCACCACGGTGGCCTGTTCGCTAACGTCAACAGAAGGTGTTCCTTTCTTCGGACTCGTAAGTACTCTGCTTTAAAATTGCTCTTGGTTATACATATACTAGAATTTGTGGCGGTTACCCTCTTTTGCACTAAGCGGACTTGTTGTAGTTCTACGACATTTGTGATGATTGTTCGGAGGAATCGGGCGGGATTCTGTGCGATTTGATGTGTGAAACTGTGGAATGCAGCGACGAGGAAACTACGGAAGCGGCGGAGAGTACGACTGCGGGTGAAACGACTGAGGGTGAAAGTGAAACGACGACGGCTGGGGGTAATGGTGAAACGACTGCAGGGGGTGATGAGACTACGGCTGGTGAAGAGACGACTACTGCTGCTGAATAATTACACAATTATGATATAAAAATATCTATCTATACAACTATCCAAATATCTATATCTGTTTTTATGTTAACGTTTATTAAAGGATGTTTTTTGAAAAATAAATGTTTATCTTTCAATTGCGTTTTATTTTCTGTGTTCTTCTCAACGTATTTCTTCTGTACAACACTATAACTATATATATTTTTTAAAAGTCAGTCTTAAAAACTAGCTAGTTTTAGACTATTTTTGGAAATAATATGGGTTTTTAAATGTCACAATAATATCATTCTCACATAGGTCAAATTTTTGAGCATAATTCCATTAAAAAAAGATGTTTCTATTTTTAGACATTTTATTTTTTATATTTTCATTTTTAAATTTCTCAATTTTTGATTTTTCGACTTTCACAATACACAATTATCCAAAATTTTTCTCCTTTTCCAATTTTTTGATTTTGCCGTTTTTCTGTTTTTAATTATCCCATTTTTTAATTTCCCTTGTCTTCAACTTTTTTTTTACAATCATTCGTGTTTTCAGTTTTTCTATTTTACAATTAGTCGTTTCTACAGTTTTTCAAAATTTCAGTTTTAATATTTTTTTTGTTACAAAAATGAATAAAAAAATTAAATTGGTAATTCAATTATAAGACGAATAGCTCAAAAAACGACGATTGAAAAATTGTAACGCGAAAAATCGAAAAATTAAAACATCAAAAATGGAAATTTTCAAAATTTAAGAAATTGAAAATTGAGACATTTTACATAAGATTTTAAGAAACGGAAAACTGAAAACTGAAAAATGGAAAAATCGAAAAAAAAATACAAAAATTGAAAATTTCCAAAGTTGAAAATTTGTCAGAATTTCAGTTTTAATAAATTTAGTTTTTTGTATAAAAAAATTGAAAAATTTTAAAGTAGAAATTCGAAAGTGTAAAATGAATAGCTGAAGAAACGACAAATTGAAAAATTATTGCACGAAAAATTGAGAAACTGAAAAATCGAAAAATTAAAATGTCATAAATAGAAATTTTCATAATTTTGAAAATAGAATAATTTAGAAAAGTCGAAAAATGCAAATCAAAAAATTGCAAAAATCGAAAACTTGAGAACTCATAAAAGTGAAAAACCTAAAAACCTTTAAATATTGGAAAAATAAAAACTTTGAAACCAAAAAATTTAAGAAACAAAAAACTGAAAAACAAAAATCGAAAAAACAAATGAAATACTAAAAATAGAAATTTTCAAAAATCTAAGAATTGTAAATTGAAGTCCGAAGTTATTAAACTTAAGAGACGAAAAACTGAAAAATAAAAAAATTAAATAAAGCTAAACATTGAAAATTTCAAAACTTAAAACTTTTTCAAGATTTCAGTTTTAATAATTTCATTTTTTTTTTTTGTTGAAAAAATGGAAATTCAATTATAGAACGAATAACTCAAGAAACGACAATTGAAAAATTGAAACAATAAATTGAGAAACGAAAAATTGAAAAATTAAAATACCAAAAACGAATTTTTAAAATTTGAAAAATTGAAAATTGAGATACTTTGCACAAAAATTTGAGAAACGGAAAACCGAAAAATCAAAAAATGGAAAAAAAACAAAAATTGAAAATTCCAAAAGTTGAACATTTTAAAAAATTTCAGTTTTAATAAATTTAATTTTTTGTGTTAAAAAATTGAAAAAATTAAACTTGAAATTCGAAAATGTACACGAAAAATTGAGAAATTGACAAATCGAAAAATTAAAATATCAAAAGTGAAAACATGAAAAAACTAAAAATGAAAATGTCATAAATGGAAATTTTCACAATTTGGAAAACCAAATAATTTAGAAATTTTAAACTGAAAAATCGAAAAATTGCAAATCAAAAAATTGCCAAACAAAAATCGAAAAATCGAGAAATCATACAAGTGAAAAACTTAAAAATCTTTAAATATTGATAAAATAAAAATTCTGAAAAAGAAAAATTTAAGAAACGAAAACCTAAAAAATAAAATAATTGAAAAAAAAACTAAAAATTGAAAATTTCAAAACTTACAATTTTTATCGAAATTTCGGTTTTAATGAACTTTTTTTTTGTTAGAAAATGAAAAAAAAAATGGAAATTCAATTATAAAACGAATACCTCAAAAAACGACGATTGAAAAATTGAAACGCGAAAAACTGGGAAGCGAAAATTCGAAAAATTACAACATCAAAAACGAAAAATTGAAAAATCGAAAAATTAAAATATCAAAAATGGAAATTTTCTAAATTTAAGAAATTGAAAATTGAGATATTTCACACAAAAATTTAAGAAACGAAAAACTCAAAAACGAAAAAATCGAAAAAACAAATACAAAAATTGAAAATTTCGAAAGTTGAAAATTTGTCAAAATTTCATTGTTAATAATTTTAGTTTTTTTTTTGTTAAAAAATTGAAAAAAAATTGAACTAGAAATTCGAAAATGCAGAACGAATAACCGAAGAAACGACAAATTAAAAAATTGATACACGAAAAATTGAAAAATTGAAAAAACGAAAAATTAAGTATGTCATAAATGGAAACTTTCAAAATTTGGAAAATCGAATGATTTAGAAATTTTACATTGAAAAATCGAAAAATTGCAAAATAAAAATTTAAAAGTCAAGAGATCATTATGGAAAAAAACTTAAAAATCTTTAAATATTGAAAAAATGAAATTTAAGAAACTAAAAACTGAAAATTCAAAACTTTAAAAAAACAAAATACTGAAAATAGAAAATTTCAAAAGCTGAAAAATCCAAAAATCTAAGACTAATTTTTCTATTTCTAATTTTTTATTTTTTCGGTTTTTTGATTTTTCAATTTTTCTATTTTTCGACTTTCCGATTTCTCGATGTCTCGACTTCTCGACTTTTCAATTTTTCAATTTTTTTTTGTTTTTTCGACTTTTCGTTTCTTCGACATTTCGATTTCCGATTTGTCGATTTTTCGACTTTTCGATTTGTCGATGTCTCAATTATTTGATTTTTCGATTTCTCAATGTTTCAGTTTTTCTATTTCTCAATTTTTCGTTTCTTCGATTTCCAATTTCTGGATTTTTCAAATTTTGGGATTTTTCGATTTTTCGATTTGTCGATGTCTCAATTTTTTGATTTCGCGAATTTTCGACTTTTGGATTTTTCGATATTCAATTTTTCGTTTCTTCGATTTTTCGATGTCCGATTTATCGATTTTTCAATTTCGGAATTTTTCGACTTTTCAATTTTCAATGTATCGATTTTTCAGTTTTTCGATTTTACGATTTCCCAAGTTTCTATTTAGTCGGTTTTTCGATTTATCAATTTTTAAAAATTTTTCAACTTTCGGATTTCTCGATTTTACGACTTCTCGACTTTTCAATTTTTTTATATCTCAATTTTTCGTATATTCGATTTGTCGAAGTCTCAATTTTTCGATTTTTCGATTTCCGATTTGTCCATTTTGCGACTTTTCGACTTTTCGATTTTTCTATTTCTCAATATTTCGTTTCTTCGATTTTTCGATGTTCGATTTCCCGATTTTTCAATTTCGCGATTTTTCGACTTTTCGGTTTATCGATGTCTCAATTTTTCGATTTTTATATTTCTCAATGTTTCAGTTTTTCTATTTCTCAATTTTTGGTTTCGTGGATTTTTCGATTTCTCAATTTCGTAAGTTTTTGACTTTGCGATTTATCGATTTTTCACTTTTTCGATTTTTCGATTTTACAATTTTTCAATTTTTCGACTTTCCGATTTCTCGATTTTACGACTTCTTGACTTTTCAACTTTCTATTTTTCAATATTTTATTTCTTCGATTTTCCGATTTTTCAATTTCGCGATTTTTCGACTTTTAGATTTGCCGATGTCTCAACTTTTCGATTTTCAATTTATAGTTTTTCAATTTTTTGATTTCCCAAGTTTTTATTTTGTCGGTTTTCGATTTTTCAATTTTTCTATATTTTCGCGATTTTCCAGTTTTTTTATTTCCCAATTTTTCATTTTTTCGATTTTTCGTCTTTTCGGTTTGTCGATGCCTCAATTTTTCTATTTTTCTGTTTCTCAATTTTTCGTTTCTTCGATATTTCGATGTCCGATTTCTCAATTTTTCATTTCGCGATTTTTCGACTTTTCGACTTGTTGATGTCTCAATTTTTCGATTTTTCGATTTCTCGATGTTTCTATTTGTCTATTTCTCATTTCTCGATTTTACGATTTCCCGATTTTTCAATTTCCCTATTTTCCGACTTTTCGGTTTGTCAGTGTCTCAATTTTTCGATTTTTCTATTTCTCAATGTTCCAATTCTCCTATTTCTCAATTTTTCTATTTTCGATTTCTCGATTTTTTAATTACGCGATTTTTCGACTTATCGCTTTTGTCAGTGTCTCAATTTTTCGATTTTTCAATTTTTTATATTGGTTTTTTGATTTTTCAATTTTTCGAATTTCCGATTTCTCGATATTAACGACTTCTCGACTTTTCAATTTTTCTATTTCTCAATATTTCGTTTCTTCGATTTTTCGATGTTCGATATTTTTCAATTTCGCGATTTTTCGACTTTTCGGTTTATCGATGTCTCAATTTATCGATTTTTGTATTTCTCAATGTTTCAGTTTTTCTATTTCTCAATTTTTCGTTCCTTGGATTTTTCAATTTCGTTAATTTTTGACTTTTAGATTTGCCGATGTCTCAATTTTTCGATTTTCAATTTATAGTTTTTCAATTTTTCGATTTCCCAAGTTTTTATTTTTCATTTTTTCGATTTTTCGTCTTTTCGGTTTGTCGATGCCTCAATTTTTCTATTTTTCTATTTCTCAATTTTTCGTTTCTTCGATATTTCGATGTCCGATTTCTCGATTTTTCATTTCGCGATTTTTCGACTTTTCGACTTGTTGATGTCTGAATTTTTCGATTTTTCTATTTCTCAATGTTCCAATTGTTCTATTTCTCAATTTTTCTATTTTCGATTTCTCGATTTTTTAATTTCGCGATTTTTCGACTTATCGATTTTGTCAATGTCTCAATTTTTCGATTTATAAATTTTTCGAATTTTCAATTTTTTATTTTATTGCTTTTTCGAGTTTTCAGTTTTTCGACTTTCCGATTTCTCGATATTACGACTCCTCGACTTTTCAATTTTTCTATTTCTCAATATTTCGTTTCTTCGATTTTTCGATGTTCGATTTCCCGATTTTTCAATTCCGCGATTTTTCGACTTTTCGGTTTATCGATGTCTCAATTTTTCAATTTTTGTATTTCTCAATGTTTCAGTTTTTCTATTTCTCAATTTTTCGTTTCTTGGATTTTTCGATTTCTCAATTTTGTTAATTTTTGACTTTGCGATTTATCGATTTTTCAGTTTTTCGATTTTTCAATTTTTTACTTTGTCGGTTTTTCGATTTTACAATTTTTCAATTTTTCGACTTTCTGATTTCTCGATTTTACGACTTCTTGACTTTTCAACTTTCTATTTTTCAGTATTTCATTTCTTCGATTTTCCGATTTTTTAATTTGGCGATTTTTCGACTTTTAGATTTTTCGATTTCCCAGTTTTTTATTTTGTCGGTTTTTCGATTTTTTATTGTTCAATTTTTGCTCGACTTTCCAGTTTTTCTATTTCCCAATTTTTCGTGTTTTCGATTTTTCGACTTTTCGGTTTGTCGATGTCTCAATTTTTCAATTTTTGTATTTCTCAATTTTTCGTTTCTTCGATTTTTCAATGTCCGATTTCCCGATTTTTCAAATTCGCGATTTTTCCACTTTTCGATTTGTTGATGTCTCAATTTTTCGATTTTTCGATTTCTCCATGTTTCAATTCTTCGTTTCTTAGACTTTTCGATTTTTTAATTTTATCAAAATATCAGAAAACAAGAAAATATGTGAGTAATATGTAGGTATTTGTTACATTTTATTCATTAAAATAATATTAAAAAATAAAGGATTTTCGATTTTTTGATTTTTCAATTTTACAATTATTCGTTTTTTCTAATTTTTCAAAAATTTGATGCGGCGTTGCCAGGTTATTTCAATTTTCTTGAAATTTTTAGATAATGGTAGGGTTTATCAAAAAAACTGCATTTGTTGTGGTACCAATCAAATAAAATTTTAATACACTGTGTTTATAAAAAAATCTATATCTTCAAAATTTTCAAATATCGATATGTCAGTTTTTTAAGTAGAACACCCTGTATTTAATTAGTGTATCTTACTCTATTTTTACTTTTTTACTAAGTTTAAATATGAAGTACTTAACTAAACAGGAAGATAACAAAAATGCAGGTGTTCTAATTGAAATATCGATGTTGGAACATTGAAATAATTATTTTTATTCACTATAAACACAAGGTATTCAGGTACTAATACTATTTCACCGACACTGGTACTACTACTATTTTTATTTCTAAAAATACATTTTTCGAGTTCGTCGAAAACAGTGCCCTGTTTATGAAACCTCGCAAGTTTCACGGCTCCGCGTCGTCATTAAGCCTGATTTATAAAACGCAGGTGCTCATACGCTGGGTTTGTCGTCGAAGATTACGCAATTATCATCCATAATTTCCTTTACGCAGCCAAAAAAGCCGCACGATCCAGTTATGTCGAAATTGGTATCCCCCATCGCGTTTTTCGTAAATCTTACATTTCCCCGGTACCACCTGCGAGCACCGCGCCATCCGAATTGGTCCACTCGTCCGAAATAAATCTAAACCTTTTTCTATCGCGCGACCGTTGTGGCCAGCCGTTCCCGTTAATAGTATACATATAGGTGATGAAAGTGGGTAAGTTATACCGCGTAAGTTGTCGGGATGCAGCAAGCAGCAGGTCGTTTTATATGCTGTGGCTATATCAACAACGGTTAAGTCAAGAGCAGAGCATGCCACTACGAATAAGTCAGTGGTTCACCGTCATATCAACGAGTACCCAATTCGTCGTGCAGTTGCAATGACTGCGGTAGTGTTCCTGCAGCGGATATTTCTCCTGCTGGTGTGCGTACTATGCGGTCTCGTCGACGCGTTTAAGACCCGCTCGCAGTACGGGCAGTACGACGCTTTATTGGTGGCGCGGTGCGAAGCTCGCTGCTGGTTCACACCCGACAAAAATTCGGTAAGAGATAACGATTCTAGTGCTTAGTTGTAGTCGTAGTACCACGGGTACTACAACTACTAATACAGATTTTGCCGGTACCACTCGACGAAAAACAAACTCGACTACGGAGAAGAGTGAATAGTTGACATGTGTTTTTGCGCTTCTTGCAATTGCTCTAATTTGTCAAACGTTTTGCTGAAGGCAAAAACGTAATCAGTACTACGTAAAAGGACAAGTGGAGACCAGTTGCACTAATTAATAGCTGCAACTTTATCCACTATATTATTTCGCTCCATACGAAGATGGAGAGTGCTATCTCGCTGAAAATCGAATCAAATTGTGATGTTTTCTACGAAACCATTAACAATATTAATGGACTATTTCAATCAAGTACCGCTTCCAAATTTTAATGTGTACTCAAAGAGCGCGTTTTTATTCTTTTTTTATTGATAAATGGGGTCATCTGTATTCTCGTGATAAAATTGCATGCCTAGATAATTGATTTTTAATAAAAACAGCGCACTTTAATTAATAAAGTGCAATTGTTGTTTTGGTAAGAGTGTTATCGATAAATTAATTAGGCGAATTTTAGAACGACTAAATATAAAACATTTTATTTTTTATTAATAATTAAATCAAACTGAAAACAACACATTGTAACACAAAATCGGTTTAAAAAATGCGTGTGTCAAAATCATAACACGTTCTGATAACATTGTTCTGGGTTGTGTTACAACAGTTGGGTTTTGTTTAGTGGATTGTGGCACTCCTTTGTAACGCGATTTGTGTTTATCATTACAAAGAGCAACAACTATATAATACAATGTACAATAACTTTGCCGATTTTAATGAATTTTGTCCAGTGTGGTCCTAACTCACGTTAGGTAGTACCATTCGGTAAATTTAAAGATGTGGAAGGCTTCAGCTAACAAAAGTTATGTCGTGAATTAATTCGTCAAATTAAATAAATTTGCATTTTCAGACAGGAGGCATGAACAGTGCCGGCTTGTACTATATACAGGTGTTCCAGTTAAAATTCCGCGACTTTATATCTCCAGAACGACTAGAGATATAAAAATTGTGTATTTGTCGTCTGTGTGGATTTTTATTAGATAGATAATCTCTGAAACTACTGAATCTTCAATTTTATACGGGTGTTCCAAAAATCACAGCTCGATGGTACCTCGTTAAGAAAGCTCTGAAGAACTAGAAAAAATGGCCAAAGAAATCCCTGAACCAGTTTTGTTGAACTTGTAACTGACAGTCTAAAATTCCCATAAAAATTGTCAAAAATAACAAATTATTATTTAACTGTCTATTAGACAAACAGTTCATTAAAACAAATCGCTATTACGGAGTTAATTCTTCAACTTTGAAGTTTAATATTTTCAAAAGTTTGGTATAGGGATTTTTTTTAACATTTTAACTGTTTCTCAAAGTTTAACTTAATTTTAGCTTTGATCGTAGTATTTCTAGAATTTCCGATGACATTTCGGAATTTGTAATTAAAGAAATTTTGTTTTATTTTTGAAGTAGTTTGAAAGAATCTTAGGGATCCCTTATGTCTGAGTTCTGAAGTAGTTTGAGAGAATTTCGAGGACCCCTTCGGCCTCTTTTTTGAAGTAAATAGTTTAAGAGAATCTTAGGGATTCCTTGTCATGTTTTTTAATAGTTTAAAAGAATCCCAGGGACCACTTGTACCTGGTTTTTAAAGTAGTTTGAAGGAATCTTGGGGACCTTTTATATCTGATTTTTGAAGTAGTTGAAGAAATATCGGAGACCCCTTTTTGTTTTATTTTTGAAGTAGTTTGAGAGAGTCTTGAGGATTCTTTTGTGTTGAAGTAATTTGAAAGAATCTCGGGGACTTTTAGTGGCTGATTTTTGAAGTAACTAGTTTGAAAGAATCTTGGGAATCTCTTGTAAAAGTTATTTCAAACTATCTCAAAAATCAGATATAAGGGGTCCCTATGTCTGATTTTTGAGGTAGTTTGAAAGAATTTTAGGGACCACTTTTGTCTGATTTTTTAAGTAGTTTGAACGAATCGCGAAGAACACTTTGGTTTTATTTTTTAACTAGTTTGAAAGAATCTTGGGGATCCCTTGTCATGTTTTTGAAGTAATTTACGAAAATTTCGGGGACCTCTTGTGCCTGGTTCTTGAAGTAATTTGAAAGAATCTCTCTCGGGGACCCCTTATGCTTGGTTTTTGAAGTAGTTTGAAGGAATCTTGGGGACTTTTTATGTTTGATTTTTTAAGTAGTCGAAAGAGGAGACAATTTTTTGTTTTATTTTTGAAGTGGTTTGAATGAATCTTAGGGACCCCATATGTTTTGTTTTGAAGTAGTTTGAAGGAATCTTAGGGACCCCTTATATCTGATTTTTGAAGTAGTTGAAAGAATCTCGAATACCTCTGTTTGTTTTATTTTTGAAATATAGTCTGAGAGAATCTTGGGGAATATTTTTCATGTATTTGAAGTAATTTAAAAGAATCTTGGGGACACTTTATGTCTGATTTTTGAAGTAGTTGAAAGAATCTCGGAGACCACTATTTGTTTTATTTTTAAAGTCGTTTGAAAGAATCTCGGAGACACCTATGCTCGGTTTTTGAGGTAGTTTGAAGGAATCTTGGGAACCGTTTATGTCTGACTTTTGAAGTAGCTGAAAAAATCTCGGAGACCCCTTTTTGTTTATTTTTGAAGTAGTTTGAGAGAATCTTAGGATTGTTTGTCGTGTGTTTGAAGTAATTTGAAAAAATTTCGGGGACTTTTTGTGGCTGGTTTTTGAAGTAACTAGTTTAAAAGAATCTTGGGAACCCTTTTTGTTTTATTTTTGAAGTAGTCTGAGAGAATCTTGGGGAATATTTTTCATGTATTTGAAGTAATTTAAAAGAATCTTGGGGACACTTTATGTCAGATTTTTGAAGTAGTTGAAAGAATCTCGGTGACCACTATTTGTTTTATTTTTAAAGTGGTTTGAAAGAATCTCGGAGACACCTATGCTCGGTTTTTGAAGTAGTTTGAAGGAATCTTGGGAACCGTTTATGTCTGACTTTTGAAGTAGCTGAAAAAATCTCGGAGACCCCTTTTTGTTTATTTTTGAAGTAGTTTGAGAGAATCTTAGGATTGTTTGTCGTGTGTTTGAAGTAATTTGAAAAAATTTCGGGGACTTTTTGGGGCTGGTTTTTGAAGTAACTACTTTAAAAGAATCTTGGGAACCCTTTTTGTTTCATTTTTGAAGTAGTCTGAGAGAATCTTGGGGAATATTTTTCATGTATTTGAAGTAATTTAAAAGAATCTTGGGGACACTTTATGTCTGATTTTTGAAGTAGTTGAAAGAATCTCGGAGACACCTATGCTCGGTTTTTGAAGTTGTTTGAAGGAATCTTGGGAACCGTTTATGTCTGACTTTTGAAGTAGCTGAAAAAATCTCGGTGATGCCTTTTTGTTTATTTTTGAAGTAGTTTGAGAGAATCTTAGGATTCTTTGTTGTGTGTTTGAAGTAATTTGAAAGAATCTCGGGGACTTTTTGTGGCTAGTTTTTGAACTAACTAGTTTGAAAGAATCTTGGGAACCCTTTTTGTTTTATTTTTGAAATATAGTCTGAGAGAATCTTGGGGAATATTTTTCATGTATTTGAAGTAATTTAAAAGAATCTTGGGGACACTTTATGTCTGATTTTTGAAGTAGTTGAAAGAATCTCGGAGACCACTATTTGTTTTATTTTTAAAGTCGTTTGAAAGAATCTCGGAGACACCTATGCTCGGTTTTTGAAGTAGTTTGAAGGAATCTTGGGAACCGTTTATGTCTGACTTTTGAAGTAGCTGAAAAAATCTCGAAGACCCCTTTTTGTTTATTTTTGAAGTAGTTTGAGAGAATCTTAGGATTGTTTGTCGTGTGTTTGAAGTAATTTGAAAAAATCTCGGGGACTTTTTGTGGCTGGTTTTTGAAGTAACTAGTTTGAAAGAATCTTGGGAACTCTTTTTGTTTTATTTTTGAAGTAGTCTGAGAGAATGTTGGGGAATATTTTTCATGTATTTGAAGTAATTTAAAAGAATCTTGGGGACACTTTATGTCTGATTTTTGAAGTAGTTGAAAGAATCTCGGAGACACCTATGCTCGGTTTTTGAAGTAGTTTGAAGGAATCTTGGGAACCGTTTATGTCTGACTTTTGAAGTAGCTGAAAAAATCTCGGTGATGCCTTTTTGTTTATTTTTGAAGTAGTTTGAGAGAATCTTAGGATTCTTTGTCGTGTGTTTGAAGCAATTTGAAAGAATCTCGGGGACTTTTTGTGGCTGGTTTTTGAAATAACTAGTTTGAAAGAATCTTGGGAACTCTTTTTGTTCTATTTTTTAAGTATATGGTTTGAAAGAATCTACCCCTTTTGTGTTATTTTTGAAGTAGTTTGAAAGAAAGAATCTTGTGATGTTTTTTAAGTTATTTCACAGAATTTCGGAGACACATTATTCTGATTTTTGAGATATGTATTAAGATTTAAAAAATCGAAAAATTAAAACATCGAAAAAATGACGAATTGACAAATTGAAAAATCGAAAAATCGACAAGTGAAAAAATCAAAAAATTGAAAAATTAAAAAATTTAAACTTAATAAAACCGAAAAATTGAAAATTTGGTACACCGAAAACTCGAGAAATCTAAACCTCAAAAAAAGTGAAAAACCTAAAATTTAAAAATCGAGAAATCTTTAAAAAATCGAAAAAGTGAGAAGTTAAAAAATCAAAAAAATTGAGAAGTTCAAAATTGAGAAATTTAAACTTATCTACCTAAAAACCGATAAATTTCAAAACAAACATCGAAATTTTGAGAAATCGAGAAATTGAAAAATTTGAACTTGAAAAAGCGATAAATTGAAACATTGAAATCTCGATGAATGGAGAAACCAAAAAATTGAGAAATCGAAAAATTTAAAACCGAGAAATTGAAAAATCATCACATTGAAAACATGAGAAATCAAAACTTCAAAAAGGAAAAAACCTAAAATTTAATAATTCGAAAAATTAAAAAACAGAAAAAATCGAAGAACTGAAAAATCGAAAAGTTGAAAAATCTCGAAACTGATGTGTCGAAAAATTGAGAAATCGAGACATCAAAAATCGACAATGCGAAAAATTGAAAAATTCGAAACATAAAAATTTAAACTTATCCAAAAAACCAATAAATTTAAAGACAGAAACATCGAAATTTTGAGAAATCGAGAAATTAGAAAATCAAAAAATTGAAAAATTAAAAATGGAAAAATTTAAACTTGAAAAAACAGCAATTGAAGAATCGGAAAATCGAAAACTCGAGAAATCAAAACCTCAAAAAAGTGAAAAACCTAAAATTTAAAAATCGAATAATTAAAATATTGAAAAAATGAAGAATTGAAAAATCGAAAAACTTAAAAAAATAAAAAAATTGAGAAGTTCAAAATTGAGAAATTTAAACTTATCTGCCTAAAACAGATAAATTTAAAAACAGGAACATCGAAATTTTGAGAAATCGAGAAATTGAAAATTTTGAACTTGAAAAAGCGATAAATCGAAACATTGAAATCTTTATGAATCGAGTAACCAAAAAATTGAAAAATCGAAAAATTATAAACCAGAAAATGGAAAAATCAAAAATTTTAAAAATCCAAAAATAGAAAGATCTAGAAATCGAAACATCGAAAAAGTGAAAACCTAAGATTTAAAAATCCGAAAATTTGAAAAATTGAAAAAATAGAATAACTGAAAAATCGAGAAATCGAAAAACCTACTATTAAGATTTAAAATATCGAATAATTAAAATATCGAAAAAATGAAGAATTAAAAAATTGAAAAATCGAAAAATCGAGAACTTAAAAAAACAAAAAATTGAATAATTAAAAATGGAAAAATTTAAACTTAAATCTCGAGAAATCGAAAGATCGAGAAAAAGTGAAAAACCTAAAGTTTAATACATAATTCGAAAAATTAAATTGAAAAATAGAAAAATCGAGAAATTGAGAAATCTCAAAGCTGATGTGTCGAAAAATTGGGAAATCGGGAAATCGAGACATCAAAAATCGAAAATTCGAAAAATTGAAAAATAGAAAAATCGAGAAATTGAGAAATCTCAAATCTGATGTGTCGATAAATTGAGAAATCGAGAAATCGACACATCAAAAATCGAAAATTCGAAAAATTGAAAAATTCAAAATTGAAAAATTTAAACTTACCTAAAAACCGATAACGTTTGAAAACAGAAACATCCAAATTTTGAGAAATCAAGAAATTGATAATTTTGAACTTGAAAAAGTGATAAATTAAAACATTGAAATCGAGAAGTCGAACAATTGAAAAATCGAAAAATTTAAAGCCAAAAAACTGAAAAATTAAAAATTTTAAAAATCGAAAAAAGAAAGATCTAGAAATCGAAACATCAAAAAAGTGAAAATCCAAGATTAAAAAATTCGAAAAATTGTAAGATAGAAAAAATCGAATAACTGAAGAATAGAAAAATCGAGAAGTTTAAAATAAAAAAATTGTAAAATTAAAAATGGAAAAATTTAAACTTGAAAAAACAGAGCAATTGAAAAATGGGAAAATCGAAAACTCGAGAAATCAAAACCTTAAAAAAGTGAAAAGCCTAAAATTTAAAAATCGAGAAATCTTTAAAAAATCGAATAATTAAAATATCGAAGAAATGAAGAATTGAAAAATCGAAAAACTGAGAAGTTAAAAAATCAAAAAAAATGAGAAGTTCAAAATTGAGAAATTTAATCTTATCTGCCTAAAAAAAACCGATAAATTTAAAAACAGAAACATCGAAATTTTGAGAAATCGAGAAATTGAAAAATTTGAACTTGAAAAGCGATAAATTGAAACAATGAAATGCCAATTAATCGAGAAATCGAAAAATTTAAAACCAAAAAACTGAAAAACCAAAAATTTTAAAAATCGAAAAATAGGAAGATCTCGAAATTGAAACATCAAACAAGTGAAAACCTAAGATTTAAAAATTCGAAAAATTAAAAAATAGAAAGAATTGAATAACTGAAAAATCGAGAAATCGAAATATTAAGATTTAAAAATCGAATAATTAAAATATCGAAAAAATGAAGAACAGAAAAATGAAAAAATCGAAAAATTGAAAAGTTAAAAAATCAAAATATTGAAAAATTAAAAATGGAAAAATTTAAACTTAAATCCGAGAAATTCAAAAATCGGAACATCGAAATGTCCTGAAATCGAAAGATCGAGAAATCAAAACCCCAAAAAAGTGAAAAACCTAAAATTTCATAAATTATAAAATTCAAAACGGAAAAACCGATAAATAGAAAAACAGAAACATCAGAATTTTTTGAGAAATCGGGAAATCGAAAAATTGAGAAATAGAAAACTTTAAACATCTAGAAATCGAAAAATCGAAAAATTGAGACATCGACAAATCGGAAAGTCGAAAAATCGCGAAATTGAAAAATTGGGAAATTGAAGAAACGAAAAACTGAAAAATCGAGAAATCAAAAATCGAAATAACCAGAAATAGAAAAATTGGAAAGTCATTAATCCGATCACATTAGAGAGTTTTTTTTTTGTTTGAGCCACTTCAACTTAGAATTCCTAGATTTTTAGTATTTTATTGATTTTTTCGATTTTTTAATTTTTCAGTTTTCGTTTCTTAAATATTTCGATTTCGGAGTTTTCATTTTTTCAATATTTAAAGATTTTTAAGTATTTTCCGTTATCATTTCTCGATTTTTAAATTTTTTTTGTAATTATTTGATTTGCAATTTTTCGACTTTTCAGTGTAAAGTTTCTAAATAATTCGATTTTTAAAATTTTGAAAATTTTCTTTTATTACATTTTCAGTTTTTTCAGTTTTTCACTTTTGACATTTTAATTTTTCGATTTTTCGTTTTCAATTTTTTAATCGTCGTTTCTTGAGTTATTCGTTTTATAATTATTGAATTGAAACTGAAAAGTCAAAAATTTTAAAAATCGAAAAACAGAATGATCTGGAAATCGAAACATCAAGAAAGTGAAAACCTAATACTTAAAAATTAGAAAAATTGAAAAATAGGAAAAATCGAAGAACTGAAAAATCGAGAAATTGAAAATTTTGATTTTGAGCAAGCGATAAATCGAAGCTTTTAGGTAAATCTCGATAAATCGAGAAACGAAAAATTGGAAAATCGAAAAATTTAAAACCAAAAAATTGAAAAACAAAAAATTTTAAAAATCGAAAAATAGAAATATATAAAAATCGAACCATCAAAAAAGAGAAAAACCTAAGATTTAAAAATTCGAAAAAATCGCACTCGTTCTTTTCGTAAAACATACAAATACCTGTCATTTGCCACAAAATTTCGTGTTTTCTGACACAGTTTCAGTGTCATTCAGAAAATCTTGAGTTTGTTACAGAGCTGAAAATTTATTCAGCTGCAGACCCGAGTAATTAAAATTAAAAAATAAATTAAAATAATTAGTGTCTCAGCGGTCTAATGGTGGAAGATTACTCATTTCCTGTGGTTTATTAAAAAATGTTTTAAGTCTGACAGAACTCGTTTAGATCTATAACCTGAAGTCAGATTCAATTACACAGGATGTTCCGTTTAAAACCGACACACAATACTGTATACTTTTTAATATTTAGCAAGTTTCATATTCGCAGAACACCCTGTATTTTATAGCTGTCTACGATTCACACTTATAAATATTGCTTGTGCATACGTTAGATAATAGGCGTTAAAAATGACACCACAAATCTTACTTTACACAATAAATTTAATTAAACCTTTGTTTAGTCAGCGTCTACAACCCAAGCGAATTTGCACTCACAAGCAGGAAAATTTTGTCACCGACGATGAATTTGTCTCGATTTTTCAAAAAAACGCCGACAAAATTTATTAAACACCAACTCAAAACAACAAATGTTGCAAATTTTAATGCAAGTCTTAAATCTGACATATTCACAACAGATGCATATATAAACTGCACGTGAAGGTTACCAACCTAATAAAGTAAGTAATATATAGCTGACATTCCTGCTTGTAGATGATTGTTATACACCTTCACTTTATTTTAACTACCTTTATGTGTTTAGTTGTGTTAAATTCAGGCACAAACACTCCATAAAACGCAAATGTATTTTCAGTGTTTGAAGCACTGTTTATTGCAACCCCTCGACAAGCCCGGACTTTGCCCCAAAAGCGACACCGTTTTAACCCCCTTTGACGCCGTCTGTCTGGACACCTGTCACCAGGACTCCCAGTGTTTCGCTTTGACGAAGTGTTGCAGACACAGCTGCGGGATAACGTGCCAAAACCCGGTGGAACTCTCAACAGCGAAAGGTAAAACTCCCTGATTTAAAAATGTGAAAGCAGAACGGCTTTTTAGCCCCCACATTCCGATAGCGATTCCGCATCAAAATGCAGCGCCTCTACCTAAAGCTCAGATTGATTTTCAGCAACAGCTATTGAAACTGGTTTAGATATAAAAATAATGGCCTAATTTTTGCCACACAGCTCCTGCGCTGAATTCCAATAGGACCACCAACAATCTCGAAAATCAATTCATAAACATCTCCGAGAAACAAACAAAACAACCAAACTTTCTGGAACATTAAATTAAGAGCAAACTTGATAATATACCTAATCATCTCGTTACGTTCGAGCGGATTATGGAATAAGCCGTAATTATAGTGATTGTGTTTAAAAAATGGAAATTAAGACCAGGGGCGGCGGCCGCCGCTACCACTTACGCACGATTGTTTTTTTTGCATAGCAACAGTCTTTGTAATTTGGGTACAATAAAATTGTACGATTTTTTTGGAGCTAATTTGAAATAAATTTCTCCGGTTTTTAAGGAGACATGTTTATGGAGCGTAGTTAACATTCTTAATTACATAATGAATGTTATTGAATCGTAAATCAGGGGCAGGTAAAAGAGCCCCGAATTTATATGACGCATGTCTTCATTAAAAGAAGGTGGGCAGGTAGTAGTTTTGCCTCGTTAAGGAGCAGTGGCGTAGCTAACTTCCACTGCGCCTCCCCGCAGTTTATAGTAAGCGCCCCCATACACCAAATTTAAAAAGTAATATAAAATTAATATGAAATTACTGGTTTACCAGTAGTGGCGCCGAATGACACAGATTTACAAATAATAATAATTTATACACATAATAATTTTTAAAAATTGTTAATTGATTATAATGCTCAATACAGCTAAGTTGGTTAATCGTTTTTGACTCATCGTGCTTCGCAAATATGATTTAATTAATTTTAATTTAGAAAAAGATCTTTCTGCCGTTTAAAAATTATTGTCCATAAACAGAAACTTAGCAATATCTGTAATTTTAGTTATTTTTTGCTGAATAATTTCACCAACAACAATGTTTTTAAAACTAACGATTTGCCCACAGATTGCACTAGAAATATCTTCTTCGTATTTATTTGCCAACTTTGATGCTGCCTCCACAAATTCTTCGTCTGTACTATTCAACATTTCCTGTGGTTCCAGAAAAGAAAAATAGTTTCTGACGTTTTTCATGCTTTCAAACCTATCTTTAATTTGAATATTTAAAATATCAAGAGCAGGATAGAAAACGGTTGCTTTAAATTTTTCAGTGGGATCTTTGAAAACGGTATCTTCACATAATTCGTCATGAAACAGTTTTACTTTTTTTATACGTTTATTTGAAAAAGAATTGTTAATTTTCCAGGTATCAGCACATTTCCTTGATTCCTCCATTATTTGTTCAAAATTGTCACGTATACTTTGAAATTTGTCTTTTAGATGTTCCATCCATTTACAAGCCTCATCTAAAGTAATATTTGAGCTCTGTAAAGTTTTTGAGACCAAATTAACATTTTCTAAAATTTTGCATTGAAATACTAATAGAGCAACAAATTCAAATGAATCCATTTTTTTACGAAGAGCTACAGCTTCATCTATTTCACTTTTCTTTTTTGATGTTAAAATAATTTCAGCTCATAACTGTTGAGAGATTAAAAACTCTCACTGAAATAGACGTATATAGCATTTATTAAATCATAAAATGCGGAAATTCCTGGTACATTCTTAATAGAATCATTAAGGACTAAATTGAGGTTATGTGTAGCGCAATGAACATATTCGGCGTAATGATGTTGTTTCAAGTTCTTCATTTTTTTTATACCATTTTCCCGTTTTTTAATTTTCATTTTCTGGATTTGATATCACAATTTTTCGTTTATTCAATTTTTCACATTTTCAAATCCTCGATTTTCCAATTTTCAATATTTAGATTTTACAATAATTTTCGTGTTTTCGACCGCAATTTTTCCATCTTTAAGTTTCTCAATTTTTAATCTTTCGATTTTTGAATTTTCCGTTTCTTCAATTTCTCAAGTTTTTAGATTTCTCGAAGCCTTCATTTTATACTTTTGCGTTTTTTCGTTTTGTGTTTTCAATTTTACAATTTTTCTATTTTATAGCTTTTCCATTTTGTTTATTCGGAAAGTAGAAAATTCGAAAAATTGAAAAATCGGAAAACAAAAAAAAAATTGAAGAAACAAAAAATTGCAAAATCGATAAAACGGAAAATCGAATGGAATTGGTTTTTCGATTTTCAAAATTTTCGATGTTTCAAGTATATATTTTAAATTTTCGATTTTTTAAATTTTTCATTTTTCCCTTTTATAATCTTTATGTTTCGATTTCCCGATTTTAATTTTTTAATGTGTTTCAATTTTTCCATTTCTGGAATTTTCGATTTCTCATACCTCAATTTTCCAATTTTAAAAATTTTTCGATTTCTCGATTTTTAAGTTTTCGCTATCTCAATTTTAAACATCGCAATTTTGGGAATTTTTCAAGCTCTACATTTTTCAGATTTTCGATATTTTCATTTTCCCGATTTTGTAATTTTCATTTTCTTGATTTTATATCGCAATTTTTCATTTTTCCATTATCTTTATTTTTTCAATGTTTCTTTGGATTTTGTAATGTTTTGCTTATTCAATTTTTTACATTTTCAATCTTTGATTTTTTAAGTTCTTGATTTCCAATTTTTTTATATTTCGAAGCTTTCATTTTGTACTTTTTCAGTTTTACGATTTTTCTATTTTATAATTTTTTGATTTTGTTTATTCGAAAAGTTAAAAACTCGAAAAATTAAAAATTGAAACAATGAAAAACTAAAAACCGAGAAACTTAAAAATCTAAAAAAAAATTAATGAATCGAAGAATGCGAAAGAAGAAAAACCATTCGAATTGAAAAATTGGAAAATCCAAAAATTGTAAAATCGAAAAATTATAGAATCTTGAAAATTGTAAAGTCCAAAAACTGTGACATTCAAACACCGAAAAATTGAAAAATTCCAAAAACGAAAAACTCAAAAAGTGAACAACTTTAAAAATTATAATTATTAGGAGTGTTACATAATTAAAAGAAAAACTGCAAATGAAAAATTAAAAAAACGGAAAATTGAAAGCAGAAAATTGAAAAAATAAAGAAAATTAAAAACCCACAGGAAAAATTGCAAATCGAAAAATTGACGAAATTAAAAACTGTAAACTCGTGAAATTTGCAAACTCTAAAATTTGAAACATCTAAAAGTTGGAAAATCAAAAACTGAAAAATCGAGAAATCGAAAATTTTCAAAAATCGAAAGATTGAAAAATCGAAATTTTGGAAAATCGAAAAACCGAGGAATTCAAACTGAAAAAAGATCGAGAATTCAAGATGTCGAAAAATCTAAATATCTAAAATTTAAAAAATAGAAAAATTACAATAACGAAAAATTGAACATTTAAAAAAAACACAAAATCAAAAAGTCGAAAAATCGAGAAATTGAGAAATGGAAAAATGAAGATTTAGAAAAACCAAAAATTGAAAAGCATAAAAAAAATTAAAATCGGGTATTCGGAACGTAATAAAAATAAAATCGAAAAGTTGAAAAATTTTAAATTTAAAAATTCGAAAACTTGAAAAACCGAAAAACTGAAGAAATGAAAAACCAAAAAATCGACAAATTGAAAAATCTCAAAACTGAAAAGTCGAAACATTGAAAAACCCAAAAACCGATTTCCGGTAAGTCGAAAAATCAAAATTTAAAAAGTTGAAAAATGAAAATATCAAAAAACTGAAAAATATAGACATTCTCAAAATTGAAATGTTGAAAAATTGAGAAATCGAAAACTTGAAAAATCCAGAATCGAAAAAAAGAACGAAAAGTAAAAACATTTAAAATCGAAAAAACGAAAAATCGAGATGTAAGAAATCGAAAATTCAAAAATCGAAAAATTGGAATACACGTTAAAAAGGTTAAAATCGGGAGATCGAAGCATAACAAAACATAAAATCGAAAAATGGAAAATTTTAAAAATCTAAAAACTTGAAGAAATAAAAAATTAAAAAATGGGAAAGCCGAGAAATCGAAATTAAAAAATTGAGACATCAAAATATCCGAGAAATGGAAAAATCGAAATAGCCCGAAATCGAAAAACCGGAAAATTTAAAACTGAAATACATATTTAAACTTAAAAAAACGATAAATCAAAATATTCAAAATTAGAAAAATCAGAAATTTTAAAAATCGAAAGATCGAAAAATCGATATATCAAAAAAGTGAAAAATTTTATATTAAAAAATTGGAGACATTGAAAAATCCCAAAATTGGAACAACGAAAATTTGGGAAATCGAAAAACTGAAAAATCGATAAATTGGAAAGAGGAAAAATCGAAAAATCAAAGAATTGATTAATAGAGAAATTGAGAAATGTAAAAATGAATTTTTTTTAATTGCAAAAATTGTAAAACTGAAATATCGAAAAATTAAGTAAACTAAAAATCGAGAAATCAAGAAATCGAAAAATTGTAATTCAATTTTGTTTTATTTTTCCGCAAAATCGATAAAACGGAAAATCGAATGGAATTTGTTTTTACGATTTTTTAACTTCGATTTTTTAAACTTTTTAATCTGTATTTCAATTTTTCGATTTTTGGAATTTTCTGTTTCTCATATCTAGGTTTATCGATTTTTTTGGGTTTTTCGATTTTTCCGTTTATCTTTTTTTTAAGTAAATGTTTCAATTTTGAATTTTCCGATTTCGGCCTATTTCGATTTCTCGATCTTTTGAAGTCTCAAGTTTTCGATTTCGATTTCTTGGTTTTTCGATTTTCAAAATTTTCGATGTTTCTAGTATATATTTTAAATTTTCGATTTTTTAAATTTTTCATTTTTCCCTTTTATAATCTTTATGTTTCGATTTCCCGATTTTAATTTTTTAATGTGTTTCAATATTTCAATTTTTGGAATTTTCGATTTCTCATATCTCAATTTTCCAATTTAAAAAAATTTTCGATTTCTCGATTTTTAAGTTTTCGCTATCTCAATTTTAAACATCGCAATTTTGGGAATTTTTCAATTTCTATATTTTTCAGATTTTCGATATTTTCATTTTCCAGATTTTGTAATTTTCATTTTCTTGATTTTATATCGCAATTTTTCATTTTTCCATTATCTTTATTTTTTCAATGTTTCTTTGGATTTTGTAATTTTTTGCCTATTCAATTTTTTACATTTTCAATGTTTGATTTTTTAAGTTCTTGATTTCCAATTTTTTTATATTTCGAAGCCTTCATTTTGTACTTTTTCAGTTTTACAATTTTTCTATTTTATAATTTTTTGATTTTGTTTATTCGAAAAGTTAAAAACTCGAAAAAATGAAAAATTGAAACAATGAAAAACTAAAAACCGAGAAACTTAAAAATCTAAAAAGAAATTAATGAATCGAAGAATGGGAAAGAAGAAAAACCGTTCGAACTGAAAAATTGGAAAATCCAAAAATTGTAAAATCGAAAAATTATAGAATCTTGAAAATTGTAAAGTAGAAAAACTGTGACATTCAAACACCGAAAAATTGAAAAATTCCAAAAACGAAAAAGTCAAAAAGTGAACAACTTTAAAAATTATAATAACTAGGAGTGTTACATAATTAAAATGAAAGCTAGAAAAACTGCAAATGAAACATTAAAAAAACGGAAAATTGAAAGCAGAAAATTGAAAAAATAAAGAAAATTAAAAACCCACAGGAAAAATTGCAAATCGAAAAATTGACGAAATTAAAAACTGTAAACTTGTGAAATTTGCAAACTCTAAAATTTGAAACATCTAAAAGTTGGAAAATCAAAAACTGAAAAATCGAGAAATCGAAAATTTTCAAAAATCGAAAGATTGAAAAATCGAAATTTTGGAAAATCGGAAAACCGAGGAATTCAAACTGAAAAAAGATCGAGAATTCAAGATGTCGAAAAATCTAAATATCTAAAATTTAAAAAATAGAAAAATTACAACAACGAAAAATTTAACATTAAAAAAAAAACACAAAATCAAAAAGTCGAAAAATCGAGAAATTGGAAATGGAAAACTGAAAATTTAGAAAAACCAAAAATTGAAAAGCATAAAAAAATTAAAATCGGGTATTCGGAACGTAAAAAAAATAAAATCGAAAAATTGAAAAATTTTAAATTTAAAAATTCGAAAACTTGAAAAACCGAAAAACTGAAGAAATGAAAAACCAAAAAATTGACAAATTGAAAAATCTCAAAACTGAAAAGTCGAAACATTGAAAAACCCAAAAATCGATTTCCGGTAAGTCGAAAAATCAAAATTTAAAAAGTTGAAAAATGGAAATATCAAAAAACTGAAAAATATAGGCATTCTCAAAATTGAAATGTTGAAAAATTGAGAAATCGAAAACTTGAAAAATCCAGAATCGAAAAAAAGAACGAAAAGTAAAAACATTTTAAAATCTAAAAAACGAAAAATCGAGATGTAAGAAATCGAAAATTCCAAAATCGAAAAATTGGAATACACGTTAAAAAGGTTAAAATCGGGAGATTGAAGCATAACAAAACATAAAATCGAAAAATGGAGAATTTTAAAAATCTAAAAACTTGAAGAAATAAAAAAATTGAAAAATGGAAAAGCCGAGAAATCGAAATTAAAAAATTGAGACATCAAAAGATCCGAGAAATGGAGAAATCGAAATAGCCCGAAATCGAAAAACCGGAAAATTTAAAACTGAAATACATATTTAAACTTAAAAAAAATGATAAATCAAAATATTCAAAATTCGAAAAATCAGAAATTTTAAAAATCGAAAGATCGAGAAATCGATATATCAAAAAAGTGAAAAATTTTATATTAAAAAATTGGAGACATTGAAAAATCCCAAAATTGGAACAACGAAAACTTGAGAAATCGAAAAACTGAAAAATCGATAAATTGGAAAGAGGAAAAATCGAAAAATCAAAGAATTGATTAATAGAGAAATTGAGAAATGTAAAAATGATTTTTTTTACTTGTAAAAATTGTAAAACTGAAATATCGAAAAATTAAGTAAACTAAAAATCGAGAAATCAAGAAACCGAAAAATTGTAATTCAATTTTGTTTTATTTTTCCACAAAAATTTCGATGTCGAAGATAAAAATTCAACACGGATTCATAGACCATAGGTACACTGTTACTTTTTTTTTAATTTATATAACATTTATTTGACAAAATTGTAGAACTGAAGAAACGAAAAATAGAAACATTGAAAAACTAGAAATCGAGAAAAAATTAATGAATCAAAGAACGAATTAAATCGAAAAATGTTCGTAAAGTCCAAAAACTAACATTCAAAGATCGAAAAATGAAAAAATTCCAAAAACGAAAAATTGAAAAAGTGAACAACTCTAATAAAAATTATAATTATTATTACATATCTAAAATGAAAATTAGAAAACCTGCAAATCAAAAATTGAAGAAACGAAAAATTGAAAACAAAAAAAAATGAAAAATCCAAAAACTGAAAAATTTCAAATTGAGAAAAAGAAAAAATATAAAAACTCGTTCCTCGCCCGTTAAAATATCTCGATTATTAATCACCTTTATTAACAAACTTGTTCGGTAAATAGCTATTAATTTACCTGATCTCATTTTCAATTCCAATGAAAACCCCTTCTTTAAAAATTGCACATTTTAAAAAAATATATCGGTTACGTTACGGTCTGCGCCCCTTTTGACGCTGCGCCCCCCCGCATTGCGGGATCTGCGGGGGTGCTATTTACGCCACTGCGAGCCATAGCACTCTAGGAAAATTTTGAATTTTGTCTCAGGTGTCCCTGACGTCCCCCAGGACGTCAAAGTGACCGGTGGCCCCAAAAAGAAAACCGTCTTTCTGGAATGGACGTCCCAGATTTTCGCCGCCCCCAACAGTACCACCCTCTTCGTGATCGAGGAGCGCCACCACACCGGTCACAACTTCATCGAGAAGCACCTCAGCGACTGGTCGTTCTGCGGCCGCTCCCCTCGACCTAGTCAAATTCTCAAGACCATCGTCAAGCCCGGGCGGTGGTACCAATTCCGCGTGGCCGCCGTCAACGAGAACGGTACGAAGGGCTTCTCCGACACGTCTCCCGTTTTTAACATAGCAGTGAGTGAGTACCGCCCGTGCGTTCGCTTCAAAATAACGTTAACAGATGCGGATGTAGGACCCAGGCCGCCCAAGCCCCCGCAGAACGTGACGGTGTCCGGGCTGTGGTCCACGTCCAATGGTACGCTCATGGGCGAGCTGCGCTGGTCGCCCCCGCGCTCCGATCTCCCCATCCAGAGGTACAAGGTTTTCTGGAGCAGGAGACTGCACGGAGCTAAGCCTCTAGACTCCGTCCTTGTTCACCAGCAGGTGGTACCGAAGGTGAGAAATGAAGATAGTCGTGCATGATACAGTTGCGTTTATTAATATTAATGCGTTTGGGTAATTTACAAGGAGCATTCACACGCCACGGTCACGTTGACCATTTCGGGCTGCCAGGTGCCTTTGAGGTTGTCGGGGAAGGCGACGGAAGTCTTGATTTCGGGGCTTCGGGGGTCGCGCTGCTTGAGGACGCGGACTTTGTAGTACTTCTCGAGGCAGCGGTACATTCCGCCGCAGATGTCGGTTTTACATACGCCGGTGTGCAGGAATCTGAAAATTCAATAAGTCAGAGGAATTTTGAGAAAAAAATTGGTTAAAATAGAACGAAGTAAAAAAAATCTATATTACTTAGTACAGGCAAATTTTATAAATAACATACCTCTGTACTTCTGGTTTATGAATCTGTCTTTAGTTTTTACACTAAATATCCAGATACATATTTAAAAAAAAAATTCAAAATTGAATAGCAACATTTTACTATTTAATTTTTAAATTGCAAAACCGAATGCTCTGGAATCTTGCAAACTTCTTAATAGTAAATCGTTATTCAAAATTTATTTGTTTATACTTCCTCCTCCTCTCAAAAATGATGACGTCATTTTACGATTTTGCCACATAAATATTATTTAAATTTTTTATTTAATTTAAAAATCAATTTTTGCAATTTTCGAAGAAGTGATTTTCGAAAAAAAAATGGAGCCGAAAATAACTTCTGGGGACGAAATCTATTAAAAAAAATCTGTTTCGTTAATTTTGAAAGGTGTTTGAAAAATTAATAAAAATTACACAATTGAAAAATTTAGCTTTTGGAAAACTTGCCAAAATATCTACACAAATTCTCAGATGTAGATTTCAATGTGTCAATTCGAAAAATATAAAGGTTATATTGTTCCAAAGCAAGATTTTTAAACATTTCGTTTGAAAACCAAAATTTTTAATAATCCTAAAAATTGCCATATTTCAGTTGGTGATTCTGCAAAAATGGTAGAAATTTTCGGAGAAATTAAGCATAAAATAACTTTTAGGATTTGAATTCTACACAAAAATGTCCTGGCTAATTTTCAAAGGTGGCAAAAAAGTTATCAAAAATTGTATAAGTTACTGAAAAACTGAACTTTTGGAAAAATGTCAAATTCTGAAATATTTGATCTCGACGTGCTGATTTGAAAAATGTAGCGTCTTTATGGTTCCAATCCAAAATTTTAGAAATATTCGATTCGAATGTCAAATTCTTCAAAAATCCAAAAATTTCACTCGTTTCAATTGACGATTCTGGAAAATTAGTGGGATTTTTTGACGAAATGAAGCCGAAAATAACCTTTGGAAAGCGATATCTAGAAGAAAAAGTGCAAAAAAAATCTGGTATATTTGATTTCGCCATGCTGATTTGAAAAATATAGATGTTCATGGTCCCGGACCAAAATGCTAGAAATATTCCATGTGAACATCACATTTTTTAAAAATCCAAAAATTTTTGACATTTCAGTTGGCGATTCTGGAAAAGTTATAGGATCTTCGACGAAATGAAGCAGAAAATAGATTTTGGGGATTGAGGTCTACAAGAAAATGTCCTTACCTAATTTTTAAAGGTGGTCGAAAAATTATAACAAATTTCGTAAGATATTGAAAAACTGAAATTTTGGAAAAATGTCAAATATCCACAAAAAATGTGACATATTTGATTTCGCCGTGCTGATTTGAAAAATATAAGTGTGTATGGTCCCATACCAAAATTACACAAATATGTATTCGATTTGAAAGTAAAATTTTTTAAAAATCCAAAATTTTCCTTCATTTCACTTGCCGATTCTGGAAAACTGATAGTATTTTTCGACGATATGAAGCCGAAAATAATCTTCTGAGTTCGAGATCTATAAGAAAATGTCTTTAGCTAATTTTCGAAGATGTTCGAAAAATTAACACAAATTTCATAAGGTATTGAAAAATTGAGCTTTATAGAAAATGTCAAAAATCTACAAAAAATTCTGAGGTATTTGATCTTGTCAAGCTGATTCGAAAAATTTAGCTGTTTATGGTCTCAGACCAAAATTTTAGAAATATTCCATGTGAACGTCAAATTTTTTCAAAATCCAAAAATTTTGATATTTCAGTTGGCGATTTTGGAGAAGTGATAGGATTTTTCGACGATATGAAACCGAAAATAGCATTTGGTGTTCGAAATCTAAAAGAAAATGGCTTTAGCTAATTTTCGAAGGTGGTCGAAAAATTATCAAAAATTTCATAAGGTATTAAAAAGTTTAGCTTTTGGGAAAATGTCAAAACTTGACAAAAAATTCTGAAATATTTGATCTCGTTTTTTTTTTTTTAAAATATAGGTGTTTTATGGTCCCAGACTAAACTTTTCAGAAATATTCAATTTGAATGTCAAATTTTTTAAAAATTCAAAAATTTCCTTCATTCAGTTAGCGATTTTGGAAAAGTGGTTGGATTTTCGACGAAATGAAGCCGATAATAAAGTTTGAGGTTCGATATCTACAAAAAAATGTTTTTAGCTAATTTTCGAAAGTGGTCGAAAAATTACCTAAAATTTCATGAAATATTAAAAAATTGAGCTTTTGGAAATATGTCAAAAATGCTCAAAAAAAGTCTAAGATATTAGATCTCGCCATGCTGTTTTGAAAAATATGGTTGTGTATAGTCTCGGACCAAAATTTTAAAAGTATTCGATTTGAACGTAAAATTTTTTAAAAATTCAAAAATTTCCTTTAAGAAAAATGGTAGGATTTTTCGACGATATGAAATAGAGAATAGCCTTTGGAGTTGGAGATCTATAAGAAAATGTCTTTAGCTAACTTTTGAAAGTGGGCGAAAAATTATCAAAAATCAAAAAAGTTTAGGAGAATTGAGCTTTAGCGAAAATGATAAACAATTTAATAAAGTGTTGAAAAACAGAGCTTTTGGGAAAATGTCAAAAATTCCCAAAAAATTCTGCGATATTTGATCTCGCCGTGCTGATTTGAACAATATAGATGTTTATGGTCCCAGACCAAAATTTTAGATATATTCGATTCGAATGTCATTTTTTTTTTTAATCCAAAAATTTCCTTCTTGTCAGTTCTGAAAAAGTGGTAGGATTTTTCGACGAAATAACGCCGAAAATAACCTTTGTGGTTCGAGATCCACAAGAAAATGTTTAGCTAATTTTCGAAGGTGGTCGAAAAATGATCAAAAATTTCGTAAGTTGTCATAGAAAAATCGAGCTTTTGGAAAAATGTCAAAAATACAAAAAAAAAATCTGAGATATTCGGTCTTAACGTGATAATTGAAAATACGGGTGTTAATGGTCCCGAACCAAAATATTTTGGTTTAAAAGTTAAATTTTTGGAAAATTCAAAAATTTCCCAATTCAGTTCACGATTCTGGAAACGTGGATTTTTGAACAAAATAAATCCGAAATTAACTTTTGGAGTTCGAGATATACAAGAAAATATTTTTAGCTAATTTTCGAAACTGGTCGAAAAATTACCAAAAATTTCATAACTTATTAAAAAATTGATCTTTTGGAAAAATGTCAAATTCCACAAAAAAATCTGAAATATTTGGTTTCGGAGTTACATTTTTCAAAAATGCAAAAAACTCCCATTTTAATTGATGATTTTGGAAAAGTGGTACGATTTTTCGACCAAATTAAGCCGAAAATAATCTTTCGGGATCGAGATCTTCAAAAAAAAAAATTAGTTGAAAAATTATCAAAAATTTTATTAAGTTATTGAAATATTGAGTTTTTGGAAAAATGTCAAAAATCCACAAAAAATTTTGAAATATTTGCTCTCGACGTGCTGATTTGAAAAATATAGCGTGTTTATGACCTCGGACCAAAATTTTTGAAGGCTTGAACTTCAAATTTTTTAAAGTCCAAAAATTTCTTTCATTTCAGTTGGCGATTCTAAAAAAGTGGTAGAATTTTTCGACGATATGAAGCCCAAAATAAACTTTGAGGATCGAAATCTACAGAAAATGTCGTTGGCTAATTTTCGAAAGTTTCGAAAAATTATCAAAAATTTCATAAAATATGAAAAAATTGAGCTTTTAGGAAAATATCAAAAATTTACAAAAAATTCCGGGATATTTGATCTCTCTGTGCTGATTTGAAAAATATAGATCTTTATGATCCCCGAGGCAAATTTTTAAAAATATTCGGTTTGAACGTAAAAACTTTCAAAAATCCAAAAATTTCCCATTTCAGTTGACAATTGTAGAAACGTGGTAGGTTTTTACGGCGAAATGAAACCGAAAATAACCTTTGAGGATCACGATCTATAAGAAAATGTTCCTTAACTCAATTTCGAAGGTGGTTGAAAAATTATTAAAAATTTCAAAACTTGTTAAAAAATTGAGCTTTTGGAAAAATGTCAAAAATCTATTAAAAAAAATCCGAAATATTTGATCTCGACGTGCTGATTTGAAAAATATAGCATCTTAATAGTCCCGATCCAAAATTTTCAAAATATTCGGTTTGAACGTCAAATTTTTCAGATAAGTATTCAAAAATTTCACATTTTACTTGACGATTCTGGAAAAGTGGTACGATTTTTCGACCAATTAAGCCGAAAATAATCTTTGGGGGTCGAGATTTTCAAGAAAATGTCCCTAGCTAATTTTTAGAGAAAGTCGAAAAATGATCAACAATTTCATAACTCTTTGAAAAATTATTGAACTTTTGGAAAAATGTGAAAAATCCCCAAAAAATTCTCAGATAATTTGTCTCGACGTGCTGATTTGGAAAATTTGGCATGTTATGGTCTCAGACCAACATTTTTGGATTATTCGGTTTGAACGTCAAAGTTTTCAAAAATCCAAAATTTTCCCAAATTCAGTCGACGACTCTAGAAAATTTCTAGAATTTTTCGACGAAATGAAGCCGAAAATAACCCTTTGGAGTTCGAGATCTACAAGAAAATGACTTTAGCTAATTTTCAGACGTGTTCAAAAAATGATTAAAAATTTCATAAGCTATTGAAAATTTGAGCTTTTGGGAAAACGGCAAAAATCCACAAAAAAATCTAGGATATTTGATCTCGCCGTGCTGATTTGGAAAATATAAGTGTTTATGGTCTCAGAACAAAATTTTAAAAATATTAGATTTGAACGTCAAATTTTTTAAAATTCCAAACATTTTTTACATTTCAGTCGGCGATTCTGGCTGGAAAAGTGGTAGGTTTTTCGGCAAAATAAAGCCGAAAATAACCTTTAGGACTCGTTCAAGAAAATGTCCTTAGCTAATTTTCAGAAATGGTCGAAAAATGTTTAAAAATTTCGTAAGTTATTGAAAAATTGAGCTTTTGAGCGTGTTAATAATTCCGGACCAAAATTTTCGAAATATGTATTGTTTGAACGTCTAATTTTTCAAAAATCCAAAAATTTCCCATATTTCAGTTCATTCTGGCAAAATTGTAAATGTTTTTAGATCATTTTCGAAGGTGGTCGAAAAATGAGACATTTTTAAATTTCACAACTATTAAATAAGTAGCTAGTTTCAGAGAAATAAAAGCGTTAGAGGAACAACTTTTTCATTATCTAGGATTTACGAAACGTCAAAGGATCGAATATTTTATTGATTTATCTCCGAAACCGTGAGTCTGACAAAAAATGTATACGGAGTTTTTTTGTAGACAATATAATTATCTGCAACTTTCATTAATATTGTTGTAATATTAATGATAAAAAATTACCTTTTTTCAATTAATGTACTAAAAAAATTATTATTAAAACAACATACCTTGGATAATATTGGTGCCCTAAGTCAAGAATACGAAAGTCTATACCACAAGAACAAGACATCGGGCGCGAAGAATGATAATACGTAGCCACTCTCCCTGACTTTTTGTCGTTAATGTTCTAAAACACAAAAAATAAAACTTAAAACTCCAATCTACAACGGTGTCTTAAACCAGACAAATCGCAGCCAACTCTAACCCAAAACATTCCCGACTCGACTTACGCTTTTCAAAGGCAACTCGTCGATGTCCTGAAACCTCCGTTTATTCTTAACCAATTCGTCAAAATTACTCTGACACACTTCATTATCGGCACATTTGTCGTCCGAGTAGTTGTTACTAAAGTCACCGTAGTCTAAAAAACCATAGTATTTGTCTTTCCATGTTTCCATTGATTTGTTTACTCTCAGAAACGCGAATATTAGTAGGAGTAAGGCGAGCGATAAATGTCTCTATAAAAGAAAGAGTGAGTATGCAGAAGAATCAATAACAGGTGGAGAACCATATTCAGTTGATCTACACAGACTGTTATCTGCTGGAAATTCAAGTCGGTTTATATACGTTTCACCACAAAACATCCATTAAGTTTTGTGGGAGATGATATTAAATTGCAGTGTTTTTAAGAATAACAACAAAAGGTAAACATCTCGATGGAGAAGTGAATGGAGGCGGGAATAATATCCGAAGAAGTGACAAGGCTCAAAGTAGACAAAAATGTAACGTGGGTTTTTCATTGTGTGCTGACAGAAATGAAATGAAATATTGACTGTTATTATTAAACAGCTAAATTAATCTAGTTCTAGTGCAGATAATACGCTTTGTTACACTATTATTACGTTAAAATTGTTTAACCTTGCGAATATCATGTGCCGCGATAATTACCTCTGAAGCAAATAAAATTAACTTATCATAGTTAAGTCTGTTCTAAAAATTTTAAACGCTTCCAGGAACAAACCCGCTTTCTGCTGCAAGATCTCCAGCCCAATTCGTTGTATTTTCTCCAAATACAAGCTCTAGTCCAGTATGGGAAGAAGCGCTTGAAAAGTCAAAAATCTGCCTTAATTTTGAACACCACTGACTACATAAGCGGTACAAATTATCACCCACGCGTTCCCGTTCTTAAAGATATATTTTAGCCCCGCCTACACCGACTCCGCCCATTTATAAAACCAGAAACAAAATCGAGGGACTTCGCGTCCAGAAAATGTACTGGTCTTCTGAAGGCTTACGCGCCAAAGTAATTTGGAAATCGAAAGACGAGCCCCAAAAATACACGGTGAACCTGTGGACAGGTCCATGCTTCAAAGGTTCCAAGTCTCGACGAAATTTTAAATTGACGGTGACCACCCAAGTGAGTGAACTGCGTTATTGTGTTTACACCAAGGCTAAATTGTGTGTTTTAGGTGTCCCATTTCGACTTATACGATCTTCATTTTAGTTGTAAGTATCGAGTTGGGGTTCGAAGCGTCCCTGACGAAGACGTGGCGTCCCTGGAGGACTCTTTTATCACGTTCGTGACGCCCAATTGTAACGAGTTTAAACGAACGAATCGAAAAACGAGATGTACAGATTGAATTTAACTCTTTTATTAAATTTTTTACTTAAAATAGCGTTGTTTGATTTTTGGAATGCCCCCGGTTTTGGACACAAATGATACGCCACTGGTCAGAGTTGTGACAGGTTGACGTATATGTTCTTGTCACAGTTTTCGACTTTTCCACTAATAAAAATGAATCAGTTGCAACGTAAATCTAGCCCTGATCTCGAAACAAGCAAACAAAACAATTCCATTTGTGATAATTCCAAATAACTTAATTTTTTAGACCGCGTAAATGACAGTCAAATCAAATCTGCCGCCCGATTTAGTGAAAAGCGAAAGTTCCTAGCAGTGATTGACAGTTCTCCGTGAAACAGGTTGGCTACAGTTCCGAAAAACCGCAGAAAATGTGTTTTTACCCTTAAATTTGGCCACAATTAATTACAAAAACCTTCGCTTTTCACAAAAATTCCTCTCCTCCAGCTAACTAAGTCCCGGTTTTGAAAATGTCCACTTTTCCCCGAATCTGGTAAAATTGAGTAGTGCGTCTGTTTTTCTAGCTTTTCCGCAAAACCAACCCACCTGTTACCACCACCCACTTCCACCCCATCCACATTCCCGGAATGTAACCCACGAACCCTTCCCGATTCCGCCCAGCCGACGCCGCAACCCTAACCTAAAACTTGTTTGTAAACATATGAAAATGAGGCACCTCGAGCAAGAGTCCAGCTCGGATTACGCCTCCCTCGAGCCGAAACCCGAGTACTTGGACGAACTCCTGGAAATCAAGGAAGAAATCCCCAAACACATTTTCGAGGAGTGCGAGAATTTCATGAAGAGCGACTTTACGAGCGATGAGGAGCGTTTGGGGCTCAATGAAGACAGCGACAGCGAGGACGACGTGTTCGCCAAGAGTAATAAGCGCCGAAGTAGGCGTAAATCGCTCGTGCCGCAGCGAGCAATTCAGGTTGATCACCAGAGCGCCCCGAGCTCTGAGTCATCCCAGGACGTGTCGGAGCACTCACACTTGAATGATGTACTCGAGGCCGTTAAGAGCGAGGAGCAGGCCGAGAAAAGCCTGTTGGCGGACACAATGGACACTTTAGTCATACCGGATAATGAAGATTTATTGTCGAGTATTAGTGAAGAAGACATATTTAAAGATTTGCAGGAGGAGGCGGGTAATTGTGAGTGGTGATTGCGAGGTCGAGTGTTTATGGGTGTTTTTAGATGGGGAGAAGCTCGACGACGAGATTTTGGATAACGTGAAGGAGGAGTGGAGGGCGCATTGGGGGGTGAAGTGTAACATGTGTGAGCAAGTCTTTCCATACAAAACCGAGTTTGATAAGCATTATCAGGAGAATTATGGGCTGGTTCCAGTGTACACGTGCACTTTTTGTAATAAGACTGCTGAGAAATATTCAACTTTTAGGTCACATTGTTATAGACATATAACGGAAGGGCGTTACAAGTTGGATTGGTTGATTTTTTTTGGGGTTTTTATTGTTTGGGTTGGTTGTAGGTGTCAAGAGTGTCCGAAAGGCTTTAGTTTGCAGAGTATGTTGCATGTTCATGTTTTGGCGAAACATACAAAGGCGAAGCCGTTTATGTGTGACGAGTGTGGCAAGAGCTTTGTGACCAAACCTGGGTTGAAAATTCATCTTAGGAAACATAAGACTGAACTGAAGGAGGACTACCCGTGTGTTGAGTGTGGAAAAATGTAGGTTTCCTTTTAATTATTTTTTGCAATTAAAAAAAATTTTTTTTGACGCTACAGAGGATATACAGGGTGGTTCATCTTTTTTTGTTTCTTGTCACTATTATGACTTTGACTACAATGAGCGATGTAATTCAGTGGCGGCCCGCTATTTACTGTACTAAAAGGTGAATTATATGCAAGTGTCAAAATATCCAATCAATCGAGAATTTTAAAATTTTTTCCTTAAAGTTAGCTTTTTCTTACCGCGAATGTGAATGGTTTCTTATTTAATTTTTTTATTACGTTTTATTTTTTGTTTTTTGCCAATTGACCCCATGGACGAGCCGTCACTGATGTTATTAAAACTTAGTATAATTTCCACATCACTACAGCAAGTAAATATAGAGGAAACACCCTGTATAAGTTGATCTAAACTGACTTATTTTTACTGGATTTAATGGTAAACCCTAAATGGATAAATGTGTTCACTGAAACATATGTTTCATTTTTCTGACATATACAGAGTGGCCATAAAATAAGTGGTCGTTTTTTATGCGGTGAAAAATCGTGTTAAACAGGGACGGATGGGCCCATCTGGAAATCGCGAATTTTCAAAGTCGCCTGTAGCTGTGGTACACCCGAACGCTGGTGCCCGAATCCAAATCTTAAATACATATTTTTAAACCAAATAAAATTTCGGTCTTTCAGGCGTCATCATAGACACCAAATTTTTTTCAAACTATTTCAAAAAGTAGAATAGATACAAGGGGTCTCCGAGATTCTCTTAAACTACTTCAAAAACCAGTCGAAAGGGATCCCTGAGATTCTTTCAAACTACTTTAAAACCCAGATACAAGGGGTCCCTGATATTCCTTCAAACTACTTCAAAAACCAAGCACAAGGGGTCCCGGAGATTCTTTTAAACTACTTCAAAAATCAAAGACAAGGCGTCCTCGAGATTCTTTTAAAATACTTCAAAAACCAGTTGAAAGGGGTCCCTGAGATTCTTTCAAACCACTTTAAAAATCAAACACAAGGCGTCCTCAAGATTCTTTTATAATACTTCAAAAACCAATTGAAAGGGGTCCCAGAGATTCTTTCAAACCACTTCAAAAATCAAAGACAACGGGTCCCCGAGATTCTTTTAAACTACTTCAAAAACTAAAGACAAGGGGTCCCGAAGATTCTTTTAAACTACTTCAAAAATCAAAGACAAGGCGTCCTCGAGATTCTTTTAAAATACTTCAAAAACCAGTTGAAAGGGGTCCCTGAGAATCTTTCAAACCACTTTAAAAATCAAACACAAGGCGTCCTCAAGATTCTTTTAAAATACTTCAAAATCCAGTTGAAAGGGGTCCCTGAGATTCTTTCAAACTACTTGAAAAATCAAAGACAAGGGGTCCCCGAGATTCTTTTAAACTACTTCAAAAATCAAAGACAAGGCGTCCCCGAGATTTTTTTAAAATACTTTAAAAACCAGTTGAAAGGGGTTCCCGAGATTCTTTCAAACTACTTCAAAAATCAAAGACAAGGCGTCCTCGAGATTCTTTTAAAATACTTCAAAAACCAGTTGAAAGGGGTCCCTGAGATTCTTTTAAACTACTTCAAAAATCAAAGATAAGGCGTCCTCGAGATTCTTTTAAAATACTTCAAAAACCAGTTGAAAGGGGTCCCTGAGATTCTTTCAAACCACTTCAAAAATCAGAGACAAGGGGTCCCCGAGATTCTTTTAAACTACTTCAAAAACTAAAGACAAGGGGTCCCGAAGATTCTTTTAAACTACTTCAAAAATCAAAGACAAGGCGTCCTCGAGATTCTTTTAAAATACTTCAAAAACCAGTTGAAAGGGGTCCCTGAGAATCTTTCAAACCACTTTAAAAATCAAACACAAGGCGTCCTCAAGATTCTTTTAAAATACTTCAAAATCCAGTTGAAAGGGGTCCCTGAGATTCTTTCAAACTACTTGAAAAATCAAAGACAAGGGGTCCCCGAGATTCTTTTAAACTACTTCAAAAATCAAAGACAAGGCGTCCCCGAGATTTTTTTAAAATACTTTAAAAACCAGTTGAAAGGGGTTCCCGAGATTCTTTCAAACTACTTCAAAAATCAAAGACAAGGCGTCCTCGAGATTCTTTTAAAATACTTCAAAAACCAGTTGAAAGGGGTCCCTGAGATTCTTTTAAACTACTTCAAAAATCAAAGATAAGGCGTCCTCGAGATTCTTTTAAAATACTTCAAAAACCAGTTGAAAGGGGTCCCTGAGATTCTTTCAAACCACTTCAAAAATCAGAGACAAGGGGTCCCCGAGATTTTTTTAAACTACTTCAAAAATCAAAGACAAGACGTCCTCTAGATTCTTTTAAAATACTTCAAAAACCAGTTGAAAGGGGTCCCTGAGATTTTTTCAAACCACTTCAAAAATCAGAGACAAGGCGTCTTCGAGATTCTTTTAAAATACTTCAAAAACCAGTTGAAGGAGGTCCCTGAGATTCTTTCAAACCACTTCAAAAATCAGAGACAAGGGGTCCCCGAGATTTTTTTAAACTACTTCAAAAATCACAGACAAGACGTCCTCGAGATTCTTTTAAAATACTTCAAAAACCAGTTAAAAGGGGTCCCTGAGATTTTTCAAACCACTTCAAAAATCAGAGACAAGGGGTCCCCGAGATTCTTTTAAACTACTTCAAAAACTAACGACAAGGAGTCGCGGAGATTCTTTTAAACTACTTCAAAAATCAAAGTCAAGGCTACCTCGAGATTCTTTTAAAATACTTCAAAAACCAGTTGAAAGGTGTCCCTCAGATTCTTTCAAACCACTTCAAAAATCAGAGACAAGGAATCCCGGAGATCCTTTTAAACTACTTCAAAAACTAACGACAAGGAGTCGCGGAGATTCTTTTAAACTACTTCAAAAATCAAAGACAAGGCTACCTCGAGATTCTTTTAAAATACTTCAAAAACCAGTTGAAAGGTGTCCCTCAGATTCTTTCAAACCACTTCAAAAATCAGAGACAAGGAATCCCGGAGATCCTTTTAAACTACTTCAAAAATCAAAGACAAGGCTACCTCGAGATTCTTTTAAAATACTTCAAAAACCAGTTGAAAGGAGTCCCTGAGATTCTTTCAAACCACTTCAAAAATCAGAGACAAGGGGTCCCCGAGATTCTTTTAAACTACTTCAAAAACTAAAGACAAGGGGTCCCGGAGATTCTTTTAAACTACTTCAAAAATCAAAGACAAGGGGTCCCCGAGATTCTTTTGAATTACTTCAAAAACTAAAGACAAGGAGTCCCGGAGATTCTTTTAAATTACTTAAAAAATCAAAGATAAGGCGTTTAGGTCTAGGTACGTCAAAAACCAGACACAAGGGGTCTCTGAGATTCTTTTAACCTACGTATTTGAAAACCAAAGACAGGAGGTCCTCAAGATTCTTCTAAAAACTACTTCAAAAACCAGACACAAGATTATTTTAAACTATGTACTTCAAAAACCAGATTCAAGGGATTTCCAAGATTCTTTCAAACTACTTCAAAAACCAGACACAAGGAATATCCGAGATTTTTTCAATCTACTTCAAAAATCTAAGACAAGGGGTCCCCGATATTCTTTTAAAATACTTCAAAAACAGACACAAGGGGTCCTGAGATTCCTTCAAAATACTTCAAAAACTAGACACAAGGGGACCCCGAGATTCTTTCAGGCTACTTCAAAAACAACAAAGGGAATCCCCGAGATTTTTTTTTACTACTTCAAAAACTAGACACTTGGAGACCCCGAAATTCTCTCAAACTACTTCAAAACCCAGACACAATATGTTCCCAAGATTCAAAAGGTATCTGAGATTCTTCCAAACAACTTCAAAAACCAAACACAAGATATCCCCAAGATTATTTCAAACTATACACTTCAAAAATCAGACACAAGGGATCCCCGAGATTCTTTCAAACTACATACTTCAAAAATCAAAGACAAGTAGTCCCCGAGATTCTTTTAAACTACTTTAAAAACCGAACACAAAGAGTCCCCCAGATTCTTTCAAACTATGTACTTCAAAAACCAGACACAAGGGATCTCCAAGATTCTTGCATACAACTTCCAAAATCAAACACAAGGGATCCCCAAGGTTCTTTCAAACTACTTCAAAAACCAGACACAAGGGATCTCCGAGATCTTGCAAACTACTTCAAAAATCAAATACAAGGGGTCCCCGAGATTATTTTAAACTAGGTACTTCAAAAACCAGACACAGACACAAGACTTTTTCAAACTACTTCAAAAACTAGACACAATGATTCCTCCCGCGATTTCTTGTTTTTTTTTTTATATATAGTTTTCTCTCAACAACAAGATAGTTAAACATGTTTTCAGTTTCTTGTTGGGAAAAAAAGATTTCGTTTATTAAGAAAAAATGGACAAAATATAAACCCCGCCCACCCACCCGTTCTCAATTGTGATGAATGTTTTATTCATCGTGAGCGGAAGGGCGGAGGTTAGTTGCAAAATTCTCATTTCTCTACAAGAAATTATTATATGAAACTCATCACACTTGAGATTGGGACGGGTGGGTGGGGCCTAGTCTTGTACTTTCTGGTTTCTCTCGAAACTGAAGAAATGAAAAATCTAAAAATTGCAAAATCTAAAAATTTAAAAATGAAAACTTGAAGAGAAAAAAAAAAGAAAAATTGAAATATTGAAAATAAAAAAAACTGATGAAACGAAAAATTAAAAGAGTGAAATTGAAAAAAAACAATCATAAAATCGGAACATTGAAAAATTGTAAAAATAAAGAGAATAAAAAATTGAAACGAAAAATTGCAAATGGAAAAGTTAAAAATTGAAAACTCGAGAAACTCAAATCGAAAGCTTTGCAAAATCTAAAAATTGAATGGAAAAGTTGAAAAATTGAAAAATTTAAACTTGAAGACTCGAAAAAATGAAGGACCAAAAAAAATGAAAAATTGAAGAAGAAATTCAAGTCAAATAAGCTGATTTATTCAGAGAAGTGGGATTTATTTGGCTTT